AACTGCTGAGGTGCGCTTGCATTTCTTCTTAGAACTTGCAACACTTGCACTAGCACTACCGCTTGTCTCTCCTCCATGGCCACTTGTGCCACCACCATTGCGTCCTCGACCTCTAGTACGTCCACCAGGGGTCGGATTTGCAGTTTGATCAGCATTTCTTTCCATAGTTTGCGATTCCTGTGATTGAAAAACATTAGGAAATTGCCCTTCTTCGATGTTGAATTGGGCATCAATAGGAATATCACCACCACCACCATAACCAGAAGAAGCCATTATGAAAAATAAGAGAGATTGAGAGCGCTTTGAGAGAGCTTAAGAGAGATCGAGATTCGAGAGAGATTTAAGCGAGATTAAGAGAGATTTGAGAGAAATTAAGAGAAATTGAGAGAGATTAAGAGAAATTGAGAGAGAATGAGAGTTTTGGGGTGAGGAAAATGGTTGGGGGGAGGGGGTATTTATAGGAAAATTTTTTGGTTGAAAAAAAAAAATTTTCCCCAAAAAATTCGGGTCCAACGGCTACAAATTTTTCGGGCAGGTCAGGCAAAATTCAGGCAGTTCGGGCAACGGATAAAAATCCGACCGTTTGGTTCAAAAATTTGGGCAAAATGCGAGTTCGGGTTCGGGCAAAAGACCGTTTTTTTTCAAAATTCGGGCATTTTTCGGGCTAACGGTAAAAAAAAATCGGGCATTTTTCAGGCACAGGTCAAAATTCGGGCAACGGTCACCAAAATTCGGGCAACGGTCACAAAAAATTTGGGTAATTCGGGCAAAATTCGGGAAGTTCGGGTATTTGCCGGAAAATTCAAAAAAAATCCGGCGAACGGCGGGGGAAGGCTTCTCCACGACGGCGGGCTGTCGGGGGGCTTACCATTTTCGGGCTACCCAAGCCCGTGCCCGAAGAAAATCATTTTCGGGCGGCGAGACGGGCCTGCCCGCCGTGCCCAAAAATTTTCGGGCATCGGGCATACCCGCCGCCCGAAAGTCCAACACTGAATTCTAGACCATGTGACTTTAGCGATGACCCTCACAAAGAAATTCATTATCTATTTTGATTGAGACAAGTTTAAACAAAATTTATTTAGTTCTTATATAGACTTCAGACCCTCTCTCTTTGCTTCCCAACTGATGTGGGATAAAGGCACTCATTTTATTTTGCCAAAATTCAAACAGTTTCAATCGTTTTTAGAAATATTGATTGCCAAGTTTGATTTTTATTATAATACATCATTTATTAATGAGAAGTGTTCTGAAATTGTTAAAGTCCTATTTTATAAATTGATTTATTGATGACAGTCTACTGTATTAAACCTAATATTTTACCCCTAGCTACTTTCGCATCCTTGATCTAAACTAGTAAAGTTGCTCGGCTCTTGAGCTCCCGTGTTTTTTTTTTATTATTATTTTTTCCCTCTCTGATCTTGGAAGCAATTAATAGATGAGATCATGAATACTGGAGAATAGAGATCAGTTTTCATGGTTGCTTGGATCAATTAGTGAATATGAGATGTTTGTAAGGCTAAAGTTAATTGATACTCTAGTTATGTATTATGAGTAATATTGTACGTAATTAAAGCATCTAAATGTGGATATTCAGTTTTTATTTTTATTTTTCTTTGAGAAAATATTTAAGTCTTTATTTTAAGTATTGTAACGATTGTTGTTGTACGTTTTAACTATAAATTAACTAGGAAATAGAAGGGTATTATTATAATATTGTTTCGATAGAAGCCTTGCAAGCTTATAGCTTAACGCTTTACTATATCAAAGAAGCAACATGGTTATTGATTTATTAATCGGACAGTTTCTTGCTGTGGAAAAGTCATGATGTCCTACCAATAAATTTAATCATGTCATAGTACCTTGACTCTTTCTTAGGTTTAGCAAAGATTTCAAAAATTAGGTGCACATAGAGGAAAATATATACATATATCCTCCTATATATAGATATATATATATATAGAGGCCTTGTAAAAATAACTTAATAGGAAAGTTTTATTAGTAAAATAACTTTTTAAAAATTTTTATTTGTAAAATGACTTTCTTTTAAAATATGACAATCTCTCTCCTCTCCACTCTCACTCCAGACTCGAAGGAGGAGGAGAGATTTGTTGTCACGACGGAGGCGAGCATCAGAATGTTGACCGCCGAAGACCACAGTGTTGCTCTTCTGAATCTAGCCGTTCTGTCGCCTATTTTCAGAGAAACAGAACTCATCTTCTTCTTGTTGTTGGTTTCTTTTTCTGCTCCCGCTTCTTCTTGGTCTGGATCTGTGAGTGACAGAGTGAGATTTGTGGAGTAGAGATCTGGAAATAAATAAAATTAAAATTAAAAAATCATTTTCTTAATTTTACTTTTTCACTTGGTTATTTTAACCAAATTCTCTACTTGTGGCTGTAAGCTTACGCAAAATACCTTTTAAATGTAAATTTTATTACACTCCAAACTTAAGTCACCTTTTCACATTTACACCTCTTGAATATGAAAAAGTTTCATTCGCGCTCTCTCTCTCTCTCTCTCTCTCAAATTAAAATGCTAGCAAACATCCTCCCTCTTCCTTCTTTCATTTTTTAATTAGATTTTAGAGCTCGTTTAGAATCTATATATATATATATATATATATATATATATAATATCCTTTGAGTAAGGGTGGGTAGAGAGCGCAGGAAAGGAAATGGCAGGGTGGGAATGAAACACGTGGAAGAGTAATATAAGGCAACATTGATATCTAGAGAATAGGTTTGAGGACTCACCTTTGTTGGCACGTAAATCAGCTTCTCAACAATACAAGGTAGTAAGTGAAATCTCTCACTCACCATGGAAAAAAAAAAAAAAAACGAAAAACGCGAGGGAAAGAAGAGAGAAAGGAAAATGATAAAAAGAGAGTGAAAGAGAAGATGACCAGCTAGTATATAAGTAGATGTTTAACTACATCACTTGAACAGTAATATATTTCTAAAATTATATATAGATATATTTATAAAACTAACAAAATCAAATTTGACGGAGTATTTTTCTAATAGTCTACAGTAAAAATCTTAAAAAGATTATACCAATTTATTTCCTCAAGAGAAATTATTCACCAGTCCCTACTATCTTTATATTGCCCCAAGTAATTGTTTTTTTTTTAATATTGGTTTTCAACCCCTCCATTGATCACAAAGTTCAAAGTGCACTGTCCCTAAAATTTTGTCTCAATCTTTGGCCCTATTCACATAAAATAATCCCATACACTGAGATCGATAGTAAAGTCTAACTATTTTCTGTTTATTATTTTAATTCGGAACAATAAACTCCCCAACTATTTGGGAAGGAAATAATTAAGTAATAGCAGTAAAAAAAATAATTAAAAGTCAGATCTTCTCAAATTGAAAGCATGCTATGTGGGAAACTTTTTTTCTTTTGGTAACCTAATTCTTTTTCTTCTTTTTTTTTTTTTTCCTCTTCTTTGGTTTTATACACTTTTGCTATGAGAGTTACTCTAGCTTTAGTCTTTCTCAATTTGAAAGGATTAGAGAAGACAATCCATACCAAACACTATAGAAGAAAGGTCCTCCCTTTTCTATTTATTTTCCTCATTAAGTTATATATCTTTCTTTCTCATTGTTTTCCCTCATGCTAAACATAGCCTAGTCATGATACACTTTTTATATGTTATGATATATATGCCAAGTCCCGCTTTTACCTTCATATTGGGGGCCTTTTTTTTTTTTTTTTTTTTTTTTTTTTTTTTTTTTGTCTCTCCTTAATTATCTTCCTTCAAAATTGTGTTACCAATTTGCGTTTGGAAGAAAGAAAAAAGAGGGTTGTGTTACATTACGTAGCTTTGTTTTTGGGATTTCTCGTGGTCAGTTTTATTTATAATTTGTTCTCTCATAAGACTTTTTTTTTTTTACTGCCTGAATAAGGATGGAAAATCTGGATCTAAGAAGCTCAACAACTCAAATCAAAATCATAGGGACCGCACTTTCAGTTACAGGCGCATTGATAGCGGTTCTCTACAAGGGCCCCACAATTCTATCCTCTTCATTTTCATCTCCTTCCAAGGCATCATCCTTTCAACTTCCTCTAAAAACATCCCAAGAATTTTGGGTCGTAGGAGGCCTTTTACTAGGTTCCCAAAACCTTCTAGGCTCAATGTGGTACATTATTGAGGTAACTTCTTGCCCAAGAAATGTGCAAATCGTTGAAAAAGTTACCAGGGAAGCTATTGTAAATTAAGATTTCAATTCTTTCTAGCACTTGACAGACCTAGGTGATGAAAATGTACCCAGATGAGCAAATTGTGACACTTGGGGTACTTCCTATGTAAGACAATTATTGTGTTACCCTTATAGCAGAATCGAAATTGAGCGCTTGAACACTGAGGCCTGATATAGCTTTGGTCACTATTGTATTATCAGTAAGGGACTATATCATGGCCTATATATGTGTATATAATACAGCAAGCTGTTGGTATAAAGGTTTAAGTGATTGAAGATTTTTCTTTTTTTATTTTCAGGGATTTTTTGGTCCATCTTTCAGCTCGTTACTCCACACATGGGGGCTGCACTTGAAGGGGTCTCTGCGAGTTTGGAACTCGTTCTAAAATAATTTTATTTTTTTGTATGAAAATAAAAATGAAAACATTTTCAATCTCAGACATAAATCATTTTTAAAAATGCGTTTGATAGTTTTATCAAGAGATTATTTTCAGTATAAAAAACTCATTAATGTCTCTCTTTCTCTCTCTCTGCTTGAGAGAGGAGAAAATGAAAACAAAAAATAAAAAATGACTAAAAGTCATTTTTCATTTCTCTCTCATTTTACACTAAACCAAAAAATCATTTTCATTTTTATTTTTTATCTTTATTGCGTCAAACGCCGTTTTAAAAACGTTTTTATTTTTTTCTCAAAAAACGTGAAAAACAAAAATGGAATCAATTCCAAACACGACCTTTATTTCTCAATCTTCAAGCCATTTTCAATTGCCGTTGCCGCCGCGTTCGGTTTCATATTCCTTGGTGATCCTCTCCGTCTTGGGAGGTATTTAACGTTCTCATTACTCTTCTTTTATCCCGGTGGAATTTTAGGAAATTTAGCTCCACAATCACCAAGGAAGAATAACTGATTTTTTTTCCCCCCTTTTTCCATTGTTTTAAATGCCCTTTCTAGTGTCATTGGAGAAACTATACTACTACTGGGGTTTGATGCTGTGATATGGGGAATACCTCAAGAAGACGATAGCGGATCCAATAATAACTTGAGAGCCTCATCTGATGATGGAAATACCACCCCTTTGCTACCAAAGTGCAAAATCGAAGATACAGAAATGCTAACTGTTCTTTTTTTCTTTCTTTTAAATAATTTTTCTTGTTGTCTAAAATACGAATGGTATAGCTGATCAAACATGGTTAATACCTCAATTCCATTTCATTTAAACTATAAAATTGTAATTAAAACATTTTATATTTGCGAATGATTCAAAAAAGCCTCCGAGTTGATGAAAACATGGCCGAGATTCGTGTCAATTATTATTTATTCAACTCAATTACACGTATTAGTCAGACAATGCGATGAATACGCATCTTGTCGTGTTATATATGTTTGTTTTCGTCCCGGGAGCCCAAGTTGCAAATAAACAAACCACAGCGATTATCATATCATGTTTAAATAAATGGCCTATATCAAATATTTAATTATGTGATAGTTGCCTTGGGTTATAATAAAATATAGGAAGAAACCAAAACTAATCTGCATATGGAAGAAGAAGAATAAACAAACCACAGCGATTATCATATCATGTTTAAATAAATGGCCTATATCAAATATTTAATTATGTGATAGTTGCCTTGGGTTATAATAAAATATAGGAAGAAACCAAAACTAATCTGCATAGAAGAAGCGAGATCACAGGAAGAAGGAAGGAAGGAAAAATGGCAAGGTTGGATTGTAAGAAAGAAGTTGTGCCATTCACAGCCATGGCATCAGTAGAGTGCATAAGCGTGATCTTAAACACCTTGTACAAAGCGGCAGCTGCGAAAGGATTGAGCTATTTTGTCTACGTCACATATTCTTATGCTTTAGGCGCACTTGTTTACTTACCTCTTCTCTTCATCTTTCCTAGGTGATGATCTCCTCTTTTTCATCTCCTTGCTAATCATGTTGATCTAACATACCCTTTTATGTTCTCTCTCTCATTTTTAGAATTTATTCGTCGTCATTCGCAGAACGGGACTTCCCCCATTAAAGCCCTCTATCCTTTACAGAATTCTCCTCCTCTCAGTGATCGGGTATGAAATACATCGAGAAATCTACTTTCTTTTTTTGATTTTTAATTTTTAGAAAATTAATCAAATTATTCATGTTTGGCAAAGCAGGTATGCGGGTAATATATGCATATTTAAAGGTATAGAATATAGCTCACCGACTCTTGCTTCGGCCATCAGCAACCTTCAGCCAGCGTTTACTTTCGTATTGGCTGTCATCTTCAGGTTTTTCTTCTTCCTCGACGTTTCTTCTTTTCTTCCTTTGTTGTTTATCCCTTCAACATAAAATATCTAGCTCATAAGGATGTTTAATTAACTAATTTGTTCTTTGGATATTGTTTACAACCCTCTTGCGCCTTTCGATTCTATATCAACATAGTGAATTTCCAGTCAAGATGCGTGTTGCGCACAGTTTTTAAGGTTGAACAAACTGAACTTCTTAATAAATAATTTCTCCTCAACCTCTAGTGTTAACATTTTGTCGATGCCTCGAAAAGGATGGAAAAACTCGATCTTGGAAGCTCAAGCACTAGAGCCAAAACCATAGGCACTATACTTTCAGTATCAGGTGCATTAATAGCGATCCTCTACGATGGCCCGGTAATTCTATCGTCTTCATCACCCTCATCACTTGAGTATCCTCTGCAAACACCAGAAACAAATTGGATTCTAGGTGGCCTTTTACTTGTTGCCTTCTGCATTCTGGTCTCAGTCTGGTACATTCTTCAGGTAATTTGGTACAGTTTTCCGCCAAATCGGGCTACCTGGAAAAAATTTTCACTATCTTAATAATATCTTACTCTAACTTATTGATTATTTGATCTTATTCATGGAAAAAAAAAAAGTTTAACTAAGTTTAAATTCTCTAGAATTTTTCCAGACCCACGTCATCAAATTATACCCGGCTGAGGTAACTGTGGTAGTCCTATTCTCTCTATGCACATCAATTATTGCAGCAGCGGTATGCTTCATAGTAGAGACAGACACAAGTGCTTGGAGATTGAGGACTGATTTAGCATTACCCACCATTGTACTTTATGTAAGTACTAAAAGACAAAAACTTGATCTCATCTTCTAACAACTTCAAACTTTCTCGAAAAAAAAGTGGGTTCTAAGTATCACAAGAAACAGATGTACGCCGACATGTGAAAGGACCCACTATGGAGGGCATGTCTATTTTTGTGTCGTCTGGCTCAATTAGAGAGGGGTAGCAAGTAATTAACACTACAAGCTGTTGGATGTGTGTGTAAAATTGATAGTACTCATTTCAGGGATTGTTTGGTCCTACCTTCACCGCAACCGTTCACACATGGGGGCTGCACTTGAAGGGCCCCGTCTATGTCACGATCTTTAGGCCGATTGCCATCGTCATTGCAGCTGCTATGGGAGTCATGTTCCTGGGTGATGTTCTGCATCTTGGGAGGTATTCAAACTTCCATTGATCTTTTGGTACCATTGATCATAAAACAGTTGACTAAGTGACAAGTATTTGATCGTTTTTTCTTTTTGTTTTGGCAATTGCAGTCCCGAACCATTAAAATGCTCGCAATTAACGATTTTTCTTTGATTGCGAGCATTTTAATTTTTAGGATGTGCATATTTGTCAAAATTAAGAGAAAGGGGACCAAGTTATCACCTACTAATTAAACAGTTCAAGGACCAATGGAATCAAACCATATTTTCTTTCTTTAGAGCAAGGAAACAGTTAGTATTAGTTTGCTTCTTTATTTTGTGACACAAGTAATTTGCCTTCGCCGTTCCAATTTTGTAGTGCTATAGGAGCAATGATACTATTAGTCGGTTTTTACGGTGTGATATGGGGAAAAGCAAATGAAGAAACTATGAGCAAGGATTCTGCCTCTGCAGATCACCCTGGAGCTTCACCTGATGGAGAGCATTTGTTGAGAAGTTAGAGAAGGTGTTTATGTCCAATAATGCAGGCAATGCTAGTGCTTGAATTTCATGTTATCTCGGATGTTTCAACTTTCAATTATGTTGCTTTTCAGGGAAATGAAAAGGATGACAAGGTAATGAAATGATGTTTTTTTTTTTTTTCATTATTTATTTTTGAGAAATTGTATTTGTACAAGTACCTCTAAAATGGGAGAGCCAACATTAAAGCTCAAAGCCAACAAAATGTCTAACGCGGAACAAACTATAAAAGGTCGTAGTAGCAAAATACTCAACAACCAAGGATGAACGAGAAAGGAGAGAAGTCACCAAGGTGAAATGCAAAATAATCTAACTATATATATATATATATATATATTTATACACACACACACCCTATCAATGACAATAGAACACATCCTAGTTAATCAAGTACTACTGTCGACTCCTTTGACTGAGGTATTGATCAACATTTTAGAAATATATATCTGAATTATAAAAGTCTAAATTGAGACCTAAAAAATGTGTATGGTACAATATAATATGTCCAATTTCGTCATGACATGCATCAGCAAGAAAATTGTTACAGATTGGGCGAGATTCCCAAGCACCTTTTAGTGCGTTTGGTTGGTGGATTCGTGCCATGATTCGTAGTTCCCTATAGTATTTTCTCACCGAAAATGGTTCTGAATCCATGAACCAAACATCCACTCAATTTTGGAGAAATTAAAGTCAAGACTAGGGTATTTAGAATTTGGACTTGTTTGTACTTGGTGGCACTCTGTAGCAGAGGACAATCGGAGTAAACATGTTAAAAATCTAAGTCATCATGAAATTCCAATGCTTTTGGTTCCAAGTAAAAATATAAAAGGTCGTACATGGAGCATATACAGTATCTTAGATAACAAATTCTTGGAGAAGTTGTTATTACTTCCTTGGTATGGAAGACGTTTTGGTGGCTCAACCTTTCGGATGGTTGGCAACTATAACCTTTTATGATTAGTGAAGAAAAGGATGCAATTATTCACCTTCTTCCTATTTTTCCTCCTGAAGATGAAGATGATGAAGAGATAGATTATCTAAGTAGCTATCTAGAAAATTACCTTTCTAAGATTACGACATTTACTCCTGATCCTATAGCAAATGTAAATGGTGTAATCTGTGTGGCTATATTTGGGGAATTAGACGAGTTTGGCTTATATTCGACCTGATAAAGAAACATGATGGATCCGTATTATTGGTGAGGAACACACCACATTCAATGATGTGGCATATCATGACAATCAATTTTATGCTATAACTCACAATGGTGCTCTTGTATCTTTCGAAACATCGCAATATCCATTTAAATATAACGTAAAGTTAACGTCGACAAAGACCTCAAGATATAGTAAAAAATGACATTTTTGTTTCAAGAGATACCTGATGGAATCGTGTAAGGGAGAGCTTTTGCAGGTAAAAATGTACAAAGAATCACTTGGCGACCGGGATCGTGTGTAACAAAGAAATTCATAGTCTTCAGATTCGATTTTGAAAAGACTAGATGGCTTAAGATGGAAAGTTTAGGTGATATTGCTTTATTTTTTAGGTGACAATAGCTCTATATCTGCCTTAACACATCTGATTTTACTGGCTGCCAAGGGAATAGCATATACTTTACACATGACCAGGATATCCTTGGTCTTCACAAGCGCGGACCTTGGGACTTGGGTGTCTATGATCTTGAAAAGTGGAAGAATCACAAATTTTTTCGGCATTGGTTTGGCAACTTTCGCTAAAATGCGTCTCCGAGCACCAATTTGCATTGCACCTTCTTAAGGAACAACCGCAAAAGGAGTCACTGCTCGCTTACCGCTTGCAAATGGAAACAAAATGTTCTATCGCTCATAATTTAATTTGTTTACCTCAATTTAACTATTAATTATTTGTTTATTTTGATATTTCGGAACAATGGAATAATATTTTGCTTTTATTGTAGTTTTATTTACTGCAATTGACTTTTTCACCTTCTACTAGGTTTTGGCCCACACGCTCCGCGCAGGACGGGGTGAAGTTCTATTAAAAAAACTAATTTGACATATAGTAAAGTGTTTATTTACAATTTAGCATTATAATCTATTAAGAGCTTCTATCGAAATTTTTTACTAACTGAGAGGACTGATTTAGTATACTTAATAAATATGTATTATAAACTGCACACACATATACGATTATGGTTTTATAGGGCTAACGTGTGGAACCACATCTAATCTAATTGCATATATAGAATATTGTAGTAATAGTATTTAAATAGGGATATATTTGTAAAAAATATTTGAATCGGAAAATTAGAAAAAATAATAATTTAATGAAGTTAAAGAAACATCAAAATGTATGTTTCAATTACAAATATGTTTCTGACGAATGTTGTATTTTCGTAATAGAAGAAATAGTTTGATCTTGATAAATCAAATAGAAAACTAATTAAGGTACATATGGAAAAGAACAAGATGTTTACGTAAGTGCATATTTGAGGATTATTATTTCAATAGTTTCTTTTTTAAAAATAAATGATATTTTAAAACAAATCACATAGAAAACTAATTACATGTAAGGAGAAAAATATTTACTTAATCATATATTCGAGGAAAAACGTTTCAACAGAGTAAAAGGGGAATATATATATATATATATATATATATATATATAACCTAAAATATATAGAGATTGTGAGAAAACTACGCGAGTAATATATTTGTAGAAAATATTTTGACTGAGAAATTAGAGTAGAGAAGAATAATTTAACGAGAATTGAATTTACAATATATGTGAAAAATGGTAAAAAAAAAAAAAAAAAGAGAAGAAACATAAATAAAGGCTGAGCATGTAAATATAAAATCATTGAGGACTAAAAATTAAATGTAAGAAAAGCAAAAATTCCTGTGTAAGTATAGAAACAATAAACACACAGTAATAGACTACTAAGATCTAACTGCTAAAACTCAAGATTGGTAACGATCCATTCCAACTAAGAACGTTCCCTAGTATAGAATCTAGAACTGATTGATGGCATATATGTTGAAGGGACTGATTGGGTGGTAGGAGAAGGGATAACGAGTAGTAGATAGCTGATTGGCATGATCATCAAATTCCATCTTTATTAAGGCATTGTAGAAGATGTGAACGCTGCAGGGAAGCGCAAGAGGGCCTAATTGGTTTCGGTGTCCGTACTCCTTCTCGGCTTCTTCAACCAGCTTCTTGAAGAGAGGATGTTTCGTGTATTCGGTTTTGATCGCAAATCTCTGTTTATGAGCTCCCACGCAGACCCAGAAGCAACCTGCCGGGGCTGTATGCCCGCCGCGACGTCGTTTCCTTGCATGTTTCTCGTCATCATCTTTTGAACAAAATGGCTTCTCCATTATTGTTCAGTGCTATATTTCTACCTGCTCTTCTTAGTTTTGTGTTTGAAATGGCATATATATATATATATGTATATATAATATAACCAAGCCTGCCACTTGGGTTACAAACAACTTGATGGCTACAATTTGCCAACTTCTCTTTTTAATATATTATTGTTGTCAATGTCAACTTATGGTGCATATTACTTAGCAAATAGCACAAGGTTACTTGTACGTCTATAATTCAATAATTAAGAAAATTTGCGTGTGGTGCTTTACCGATGACTTATTATTTGCTTATATTTACGGAAGGTTACGTGTTCAAGCAATGTTCGAAATTCATATAAAAACCAGCTGTCAAAGGTGAGCGCTACTTATAATGCGACTAATTACAATTGCTTAAAATGCGTAAGTAGCAGTCCTTAAATTGACTTTAATTGTATACTATTAAAAAGTGAGAGAGAAGAATTACACTTTATAAAGTAGTAGATTTTTAAAATTAATCTATTTAAGTGGGGTGACCAATATATTTATATGACTGTGGTTATATTTATGTTTAGATGATGTGAGACTCAGGTATTTTACCCTTAATATATACAACGCGCAAAGTACCACAAGTACTATAAATAATGTTTTCTTAACATAGCATTAAGTAGTAATTGGGCCTTTTTTTTCCCCCTTCAATTCTAAAGTAATAAGTCGTCAAATGATTTCTACGGGAAAAAAAAAAAGTGATAATTACTCGAACAACATGGTTTTAGCTACGATGTGACATCTATAAATGGTTTAACGATAGCAGCCTTTTCTCGTCGCACACCATTTAGGGGCGGCGGCGACCTCTTTGGAAATGACATGTTATTAGTCGTCGGCGACAATCAACAAGTCGTCCTTAAATCTCTTACCGCTAAAGCATCGGTATGTCATGGTGACTTTTGTTATTTTTTGTAATTTCATTGTGTGATTTTGGGTGAACCTGCTGACTTTTTATCTACTTGCATTTAAAGAAGGTTGGCTAACATATTTTATATCGTAGTAATCGTTCTGATCATATTATATGTTAGTAATATTCTTTGCCATTCATATTAGAGGCGGAAAAAAAAGCGACGTAGTTAAACAAATTACAGTCACTATCTTTTCTTTTTATTATTTTGGTTTATGTCAAAAGAATTGATGACATACAACACGCCAAGGTACCAATAGTACCAAAAAATATAATCTGTACAGAAAAGAGCATTAAACAATTCATTAAAAATTACTACTTCAATAAACAACTATCTGGTAGAACCTTGCCAACAGACTTTCCATTTGCATTGGAACATGAGGATTTAGCTTCTTGATTCTTGTAAGTCAGATTCACATCCTCAAGTCTAATCCCCTTGCATGGATTTCTTGGACTGCAGTCAAATTTCATTGCAACTACCGTCGCCGATGTACCTTTGATGCCCCGATATACGACGTCGCTAATTTTCACACCCGAAACCTATAAATACACATATTTGAGCATGATATCAGTTGAATGACACTTGATGTAAATCCTATTCAGTGTATGAATATTATTATTATTATTATTATTATTTTACTTTGAATATAAAGAGTACTAAAGAAATAATTATAACTTACCCGACCAGGGCAATTGATGTTGTGTGGGCAATAATTTTGGTCTATAATAATGGGATTTTGGACATTCTGCATTACGACATTAAGGAACTGGACTCCCTGTACAAATCCACTGCTGGGTCTAGCCCATGATTTTATTCTTAAACCATTTTGAGTATTTGTAAAAGCAACCTGTTTCACTGTTACATTTTTCACCCCATCTTCTTCCAAGTCTTTAGCAAGGCTCCCAATGCTGCAACCAATTACATGCAAGTATACGTAAGCCAGAATACATGATACTGGATAAAAGGGTTAGCGAGAAAAATTTTCTCGGTGTTGACCGGTATACCGACGAATTTTGCTAATACGGTTTTTCTTGACGTGAAATATGCATTACACATTTTTCTTGTAATTTATACAAGCTTGGTATATGAAAAAAAAAAAAAAAAAAAAAAAAAAAAAAAAAAAAAAAATTACCTGATGCCATGGCCAGGACCACATGCCATGCGTTCAATCCACAAGTTTTGGGTGCCGGGGCCGATGGAGACGCAATCGTCCCCGGTTCTTATGGAGGAGTTGAAGATTGCTACATTTTGTGATTGTTGGACGTGGATGCCATCGGTGTTTGGACTGTCTCCAGCAGCCATGACCTTCACACCTCGCATCTCCACATTCTGACAATGGTTTACTACAATGTGGAACATCTGGCTGTTTAATGACAATAAGCCGATGACTTTGATGTTGCTGGAGTATGTTATGCTCAGCGTCTGCAAATTGCAATTATCGAAAACTGATTAACAATTAAGTATATGTACCTAGAAATTTATATGTATTGATGGTCCCAAGTAAACGTGAGGCAGTTAGTGATGTTTGTGAAAAAGGTGTGTACTAAAAGTAACCAAGATTATATACAGTTTATGTTTTATAGAACTGAAAAAAAAGTACTTCGTAAATAACACATTTTAAAGTTTTCCCATTGATAAAAAGTTATTTGTTTACTATATTAACCTTAACGTAGTAATTCGAACCAAAATAATAGCTAAATTTTTTGTGTACTAACCGTGGCTCCGCCGGGACAAGAGTTAGTTGCACTGGCCTTGCAAGCCCACAAGGCAGATCCTCTGGCGTCAAGAGCGCCTCCGACGATATCGACACCGCTGACTCCTTGGAAGTCGAGCCAGTTATCTGCGGTCCCCAAAACTCGGTAATCCAACGGGGCGACCAGGGTGCCGTCGATTCGAAAAGTAATGTGGGGGCTTTTGCAGGGGCCATTGAACGCCAGAGGGCGAAGCAAATACCTTCCTTTGGGGATGTATATGCGGGCGGCATCAACAGCACCACAGGCTGCAGCCCATGCATCTAGGAAGGCTTGAGTGGAGTCTTTTACGCCATTCGGTTTAGCCCCAAAACTCAGCACATTATACGTACTAGTTGCACCGGCACAAAATTTTATACAAGTAATACATAGAATAGACACAACCAATACGAGCAGTGGAGAAAGAAATAAGCTCGCAAACTTGACCATCTTTTTGTATTGTTGTATATGCTAGCTAGCTATCAAGTACTTAGTGATTATGTATGATCTATAACAGAATAATATGTGTTTTGGTGATATATATATATATATATGGAGAGTAGATCAGTTTTATAGGGATATAAGCGATGTGAGGAGAAGTTGAAGAGAATAGAGTATATATAGGACATAATATGAAAGTGTGATGAAATGAAATGGATATAATCCTTATTGGTGAAGAAAGATGGAAGAAATCAAATTTCAACAACATGCATAGTTTAGGGTTGAAGAAAGTTGGCACAGGAACAGGACAATGTACACATGCATGTACGGATATCCAAAAGAAGAAACCTGCGCCGTTGCTGAGAAAAAGTGCCAACTTATGTGCTCTCTAAGTTGGCTGCGCTATAGCTTCCATTCTTCATTTCTTCCAATTATAATTATAATATTGTTCATATTATTACTCTACATAATGATATGGATAATTGCTTAAATTTTTTTTTTTTTTCCCCCAGCCCACCATGCCAACCGATTGCTTGCTGTTTGATTTAGTACATATAACATCGTTATAAAAGCAATTCGTGATATTAATATTTCATTGTCGTAATCATTATAAAATAATACAACGTTCATATCCTTTTACCTTGTTTGTGGATGTCTCTTTATTTGTTCCTCATAGTCATAAGAGTGATGCTAATTAGCCTATATAGTAGCCCTCTTTCCAATACCAAGTTTATCGAGCCAGTACTCCAGTTGTGTTTCAAAAATAACATTGAAATGATGTTTTTGGCCAACTCTCTTCAATAAGTAGCAAGACCTTTGCTTTTTAGAAAAATGGCTGGCTGTCATTAAAATGGTTAATGCGGTAGTTAGTTAATTAGATCCGGTCAATTAATAATTGACCACCAAGGTAATCATTGATTAAGGATAAATCATTAATTTATATCACTTAAACATTAATTATATCAGCAATTAGTGATTGATCATTCAAAAAAACAAAATTTTCTTAATTTACAAAACTTGAGAATTTATTAAAATTTTACTCTAAAACTGTCATCCATATATCCGAGAGAGAGAGAGAGAGAGAGAGAGAGAGAGAGAATTAAGATAATAGGAAATACATCCTTCCAACTCATTTTAATTTTTAGTTTTGTAATTTTGTCTTGTTTAATAAATTGAGTGTTTGGTACGAAAATTCGAGAGAGAGAGAATTAGGATTTTTTTTTTTTTTTTTTTTTTGCTTGAAGAGAGAATTAGGATAACAGGAAATACATCTTTCCGACTCATTGTAATTTTTAGTTTTGTAATTTTATCTTGTTTGATAAATTAGATATTTAATACAAAAATTTATATCATAATTTAAAACATAATTCGTTATAATATTTTTTTTTATAAAAAATATATATAAATTAAAAATAATTTTAAATTATAATTCAAAATTTATCGACCAAACGTGAAAAGGCATATATCTTTTATCTTCATTCACTGAAATGCAACTTGGCCTAATAATTTAGATACGCACCGTATAGAAAGACAAGGCCTTGAAATGATGAGGCCGGTCTACCGTTGTCAAGATGACGAAAAAGATAAAGGCCGTGTCTTGTCAAGAAAAAGGAAACTTCTCATAATTCTGTTTTCACTGTCTCATCGAATATAAATTATAAAACTTTCTTTTATCATGATTAATTAGATACCGTCATGTTCCTACGACTTTTTTTTTTTTTTTTTCATTTTTGGTGGAGATAAGGAGAAGTTAACGCCTCCTTCGTTTCGTTAATTTAAAAATTTGAGTTAAGATATAATTTTATATGAGAATTTTTTACTATAATAAAAAAATTAGATGTGATTATTTATGAGAGTTTTTTACTGTAATAAAATTTAAATTTTAAATTTAAATCAATAAAATGAACGAAACCATTTTACTCCACTATTGGACGCAGGAACCTTGTTCTAATAGTTTGATGAGATTTTTAATGGTTTGATGTATAATAAGAGCAGTTTTATATTATACGTTGTGAAATTTTAATATGAATAATGAATATATATAAATCTAATTATTAAAAAGTTAATCTAATTAGTTAAAAATAATAATTAGTACAATAACTTTTTCCGCTATAAATTCCATGTATATATATGTATGTGTATATATATGTATGTGTATATATATATATATATTGATTATGCGTAATGATGTACAAAACGATCCTTTTCTAGACCTTAATCTATGACAACATTATTTAATTGTATTGCGTGAGATCTAAACAAATGAATAGAGAAAATAATACTTAGAAATAACAGATTCTTTTCACACAATATCTAATATAATATAAACATTTTACTGATATGTGTACCACCAATAATAACACCCTTATTTATTATTAGAATATAATCATACAATAATAGTGAGAACTTATTTGTCAAATTGCTTCTCGATCAGATCCAAATAACACCAAATCAGATTCAAATAATACTTTCTTTCTTTTCATTTTGGGTTAAAGAAAAAAAGAAAACGAACCAATAGAATTCCTTTGGCCCTATCAAATCATGCCACACCGTTGTCAATCTCTCTCATCAATAGTTCCGTCCTTCCATAAGCACACTCCAACTTAACTAGTCCATGATTTACATATACATATATGTATACACATAAGAAACTAACTACTGTGCCATATAACTTTACTCTCTCTTTTTGTGCTCGATCGTTTGCTTTCTAGAGAGAGAAAGAGAGGAGAGAGAGAGAGAGAGAGAGATGGTGGCAGGGAGGTATGGTTACAGGGATGTGTTGCCATTCACGGCGATGGTAACAATGGAGTGCATTAACGTGGGGTTAAACACGCTGTTTAAAGCAGCGACTTTGAAAGGCATGAGTTACCATGTCTTTGTTGTCTACGCTTACGCTATTGCCGCTCTTGTTCTCCTTCCTGCACCATTTTTCTCCCATAGGTAAAATTAATTTCTTTAATTGGTTTTTTTTTTTTATAAACCAAAAAGTTTTATTCTTTGATATCTTGTTTGCTTAATTTGTGGGTCTTCAAAATTCATGTAAATTTTGTTTTGTAGATCAAGAGTGCTTCCTCCGCTCAACTTCTCCATAATGATCAAAATGGGTCTTCTTGGGCTCATAGGGTATAGAGTAATAATTTTTAAAACAAATTATTGCCCATGATTCATTTTTCTTTTTTTTTTCGGCCTTATAGTTTAATTTGGTTGTTTTTTTTTTTGTTTGGAAAAATTGATGAAACAGATGTTCATCTCAGATAATGGGATTTACAGGCATAAATTATAGCTCTCCAACGCTTGCTTCAGCCATTAGCAATCTCGTGCCAGCTTTCACTTTCATTCTTGCCATCATTTTCAGGTACTTTTTTTTCTTTTTTTTCTTTTTTTTTTTACTTCTCTCTCTAGTCTCACCCTTCAAATTTAACGATAAAAAGAAAAACTAAAAAATAAAATACAATATTCCTTTCTTCTTCGAAGTGGATTAAACACTAGCTAGGACCCCTTTCTGCTCAAAGTAAACAAAGAGTCGCACTTTGGAATTCATGCAAGAACAGCCGAACAGGTGTCCTTCCGTCCCCACCACCATTATTTTATTGTCTTTGTGGGTGATTTAGTTTTGTAAAAAAGAAAAAAAAAAAAAAGAAGATCTTCTTTGTTTAAATAATAATAATAATTATTATAATAATAATAATGGAGAAGTTACACTTGTTCAATTGCATAGTCAGATATGCAACTAACCCATTTCGCATGCTAATGTGCTTTTTGTGGTTGTCGTTGAATGTTGGCAAATGTAATTGTAAAATTAGGAAAGTTTTCCTTAAAAAGAATTAAAGAAATGATTTAGGCAAATCGGCCAAGCCATGTTTAGAGTTCAATTTAGGAGACGTTCGTGTATTAGAATCATTTTCAATTTATATGTATTTTTTATGAGAAAAAATACTGTAACAAATTATGAATCATGATTCGAATCGGGATATGAATCCCTCAACCAAACAACTCCTTAATTTTTCTTTATATTTTCTTATATTTAAATTTAATTTAATATACGTATATGTAGTCACGTGCGTGGCACACGCACTTTGATGACTAAAGTCAAACTTTGCTTTTCCACAACCGATTTACAATTAAAGAACACCACCCCCTATTTATCTCGAGAATACAACCACACCACACCCACGTAAAATAGTATAGAATTTGATACAGGACCCACCATTTTATAAGGTATTCTCGTTATGAGAATGAAAGACATTTTTGTTAATCGGCTGTTTAGTTCACTAAATTGAGTTTTTAATTTGAGTTGAAATATGACGTTATGTAAGAGTTTTTTACTGTAGTAAAGAAGTTAGATGTGATTGTTTCTGAGAGTTTTTTACTGTAACAAAACTCGAATTCAACTCGAATCGGCGAAATGAACGAGGCCATGTCACATTTCTACTCAACTTGTTTGTTAGTGTTCTAATGAAAATTGTGAGGGTGATCATTACTCTTTATTTTTAACATGTTAACGATTATCGTGTAAGACTCGTGGAATTATGTGTTGAATCTTGTGATTGACATGTAAATTTTGAAAATTGGTTTTCAAAATATACTGATGATCTCGTGATATATAGTAATGTATTACTCCCCAGTATCAAAGAGTGAATATAAAAGGCGATATATCCAGTATCATTCTTTCTTACTATTATTTAAAAATAATGGGGCACTTTGTGATATAATTCCTTGGTCGCAATATGCATTTCTCCAGTTAAAATATCCCTGCAACAAATTCCCAAAGTTCTCTCTCTCTCTCCTCTCTCTCTCTCTCTAAACTCATACAACTACAAGGGTGTGTGGATTATTGAAAGAGAGAGAAAGAAGAGATAACTTATTCGATAACTAGTTTTTCCAATTGGTGTGTCGAGTCCTTTTCTTCTCTCTTTTCCTTTTTCGCTTTAATAATTGAACGGTGACAATTTGTGTCATTTTTCTTTCCTTTTTTTGGTTCTAAAGGATGGAAAAACTAGCCGTAAGAAGCACAAGCAGTCAAGCTAAGATGTTGGGCACTGTAGTTTCAATAACAGGTGCATTTGTGGCGACTCTCTACCAGGGCCCACCAATTATTTCCACTCGATTTTCTACCATTTCACTTCACCACCAACATCTTCTTCAAAACGACACCAAATCTAATTGGGTTGTTGGTGGCCTTTTGCTTACGGCTGAATATATCTTGGTTCCACTTTGGTACATTGTTCAGGTAAATTCACGTTGTTCCAAACTCACAAAGTATGTAAAACTGTGGGATTTTTTTTTTTTTTTTTTTTTTTTTTTTTTGTAAGGAGAAATTTTGGCGCGCTAGATTTGACATTTAAAAAATGCACAATAATAGTAGTTTAGTACGGAATCTATCTATAAAAATTTATTAATTTGAGCGTTGTCGATTTTTACAGACGCATATTATGAAAGAGTATCCGAATGAATTGAGTGTGGTATTCTTCTATAATTTATCCGTGAGCATCATGGCTGCAATTGTGGCGCTCATAATGGAAACAGATTCAAGTGCTTGGAAATTGAAATCTAGCATTGCAATTGTCTCCGTCGTCTGCTCGGTAAGATTCTAGCAATATTTCGGTTCAAGTGCTCTACATATCAAAAATTTCGTGCAAAAGAAACTTAGAATCATAATCTATAAACCTATGTTTTCTTATACATTTGGCAATTGAGTCACAATCATGTCATTAAGTTAATAGATCTTCAACACTTTTGTCTAGATATTTACGGTATATCTAAATATATTGAACAATGCCATGGCACCAGTAGTGTCTAATCATGCCCAGTACTAAGAAAAGATAGGTCCCGTGGCATAACCTCATAGATAAAACCCACATTCTATTAGTTGTGGTGTTCGACTGCACCAATAGATATATTTGATAATTCTATCCTCTATTCGCTTAATCTCAACTACGTCATCCTTCACAGTTTTGTCCACTAGAATACCAACTTCATTGCGATTCCTTTCTCAACCTGTATACCATAACATGTGTCCTAAATTTCTAATCTCCTTTGCTTTCTCTCTTGTCCACTTTGTTTCCTGTAAGCATAAAATGTTAATTCTTCTTCTTACCATAACATCTACTAACTCCATAGATCTACCAGTTAAAAAACCTACATTCCAACTACCTAAACAAATTTTTCTATCATGTGCTAGCTCTGTCCCTTGCACACGTCCATGAATATGCAAGGACCCCCCTTGCATATTTTTCACCATATCCGGGGCCCGACATGGCGCATGGGCTCACTTTTCCCCACGCACACGTCTGTGAATGTGCGAAGACCCCCTTGCCTATTTAACACTATACCCAGGGCCTGGCATAGCGCGTCGCACGTAGGGAACGCCCCAACAGATTCTGTGTAAGTAAAATCCATAAGAGTGACTTTATTTTTACGCTAGCCGTTAACCTACTGCAACCCTCCTCCTTTATCCAGGCTTAGGACCGGCTATACAAACGGAGTTAAAGTACTGCACTAATATATTTTTTAAATTTATATCTTCTCAAATCATGTTCTACTGGTTTGTGAACAATGTGTCACAAGTTTTAGTACTTCTGATTACGATAAATAGGGAGTTTTCGGGTCATTCTTGAACAATACCGTGCACACGTGGGTCTTGCGAGTGAAAGGGCCGGTCTATGTGGCAATGTTCAAGCCTCTCTCCATAGCAATTGCTGCTGCGATGGGTTTCATATTCCTTGGCGAAACTCTTCATCTTGGAAGGTACATACTACAAAAAATAAAGAAATAAAAAATAAAAAAAGGAACACACACAACTTCAATAACCACCCGTCTAGCTAAAACACATTAAATTTTTTGTTATTGTTTCTTGCTTAAGATACCACTTTTTTTTGTTGGTTTATGAATATTAGTCTTATTGGAGCAACAACAATATCTATTGGGTTTTACACCGTGATGTGGGGAAAGGCAAAGGAAGAGATTAATACTGAAGACTCTCAAGCTGAGAGCATGGGATCACTACCTACACACAAGACCCCTTTATTGCAGAGGTACAAAGATGAGAAGAGGTAGACAACATATTCCAAAGTGAATGTATGTAAATGAAAGGAAAATTGCAACTTAAAAATGTCCAACGTTATTTTATTTGCAATGTGAAATATGATGAATTGTAATTGTAGAACAGAGGGAGAGAAAAAATAGTATGCCGTCTGTATTGTACCCCATCATCCCCCTCGAGCAAGAGATGAGAGGAAACAAAATCAGTCTCTTAACACTAAAAATTTTCTGGTAAAATTAACTCTAAATCAAGAAACGAACGACACAAGACTGCAGTGTATAAATATTTTTTAGAAAATGTATGCAAATTAGAAACGACATGTCTTTACTCTGCATATATACTAAGTGACATCCAAGAAAAACAAGGAGTTGTCCTTCTCGGGTCATTATTTTCCCTTTTTTGCTCTTTTTTATGTATATAGTTTACGCCAACAACATCGTCGTTTTCTGTTTCTTTATAGTTGTTGTCCATTTAGGTTGTTTGTCGTTATGTCACTTCACTTGGTTTTGCGCGTGATTCTCTTATGTTTATGTATTTTCGCTAAAAAATAAAATGGCGTATAGTTTTTTTTTTTTTTTTTTTTGAGGACATGAAACGTGATTTTAATTGGATGGCTTATTTATGTATGATTGTATTCATTTTTGAGATATGTCGCTATTGTCAGGTTTCATTTGTCGTTTTTGTCTTTACTCTCTTGTCGTTTTATCACTTAACTTCATTCTTATTGGCTTATATTCTGTGTCATCACCTTCTTATGTTTATTGATGACTTGTCAATGACAAAGAACTCACACATCCTTTTTCTAACATGTTGCACCTTTATTTTCGTTTACAGTCTTCGAGGTTTTTCATTGTCTGGCGTTTCTGGTGCATATTGTTTCTTCTGCCAACATGTTGTCGTTTCTTTTGCTAGATGGTCGTTGTCGATTTTACTTTTTTCTTGTTTTATCATTTAAGTTGGTTGTTGTTACTATTATCCTTGTCGTTGTTGTCTTAACGTTTCTTTTCTCTGTTTTGGATCTTTAATGTGACGCTTTTATCATCCTCAGGAAGTTAGCGTTTTACTTTTTGTCGTTTTCCATTTTCTGTCGTTTTTCTGCGTATGCCGTTTCCTGTAAACTTCTTTCGTTTTTGGTCTTTGCAGATTCAGTCGTCGTCATCATTTAAGTCTGTTTTCATTGTGGTTTTATACGCGGGCATCAATATTGCGTATGTTATCACTTCATATATTTGCATTAACAGAAAACTCCCATGTGGTTTTCTCTTCTTTATTGTGTTCATTTTTCATTCTTTTTTTCCCCCCGGTTTCTCAATTGCGTCGTTTTTCAAACAGTTCTCATTTCAAATGTCTTGTCATTTGTAATTTTCAAACAGTTCCCATTTTAAATGTCTTGTCATTTGTAAAGGAAGATCAATATGTTTTTAGGATAGTTCAATTCACACATCCCTCTTTATTCTTTACACTCTCTTTTAATTATAATTTCTTATTAGAAAATATTGTCATGTAATGACAAAAAAAAAAGACGATTATAATAGATTAAATTACATAATTAAATTTTATTATAAAAATAATAAAGTTTTATGTTTTTCCTTCACACATCTCGCATGTCATATTGTCAAATTACAAACAATTGTTATTTTGAAATCTATGATAAAACTTTAATTTCTTTTCCATTCAATAACTATTCCAAAAAACTACATAGACAATGTTAAATTTTCTTTGCTATTTATTCTATAGTGATTGTTCTTTTGCCCTTTTTTTCTTCTTTTTGTGTTAATGTTTTTTATTTTTCTAATTATATCATTTTTGAAAGGGCAAATCATTTTATAATTATTATTTTTTTCTTTCTTATAAAGTAGAATTGATTTTTTTTTTCATTTTATTCTTTTTTATGCTTATTATGCACGTTTATTTGTTTTTCATTATTTTTCCATTATAATAACTTTGTTGCTGTAACGTTTATTTATTATTTCTTGAATTATATTGCTTTCCATTTTATATTTTTGAATGTCCTTTATGTTTTCTAAAAAAATATTTTAATAAATTTTCTTTCCGTACAAGAAAAAAGCATCATGCCTAAAGCTTCAACTTAAAAAAAAAATGTAGAAATGATAATATTAAAAAATAAAAAATAGCAGGTGTGAAAAGAAAAATGATCAAGAATTAATAATCCTATGAACATAATTTAAAGTAATTTTAGAATAATAAAAGTGTGTAGAAAGTAAATTTAACTATTTCAAAATTACATAGAGTGTGTTTAAAAATAGTGTAGAGAGTAATAAAAAAAAAAATTTTGAATAGAACCACCCTTTCAATAATTAAGTCGTCGTTTTTAGGCGATGACATTAGCTATAATACCGCATAAATAAGATTTACTTTAACCCATGTCAAAAGATATCGTTAGCCACAAGCTAGTTGCTAATTTTACGCTGGAATCTAGTAAAAGCAAAGCAAAACAATAAGACAAGAGAAAACTTTAACTAATTTAACCACTCATAATGATGTTAAACAATTAGCAAAGAGGTCATTTTAGGGTCAGAATATATATTCTATAGCAGACAAAAACGACAACCATATGACTAAATCTAAAATAATGATGAATGTCACATCTAATTTTTTCTGCTACAGTGAAAGATTTTCACAAAATGTCACATCTGCGAAGTGAACGAGGTCATAATTGTTCATTATTACAAAAATTTAGAAAACAAATACAAGAGCACAAAATAAGAATACTTATTATCCCCCGCCTTTACCTCCTCTAATAAACTCGCAGCAATAATATTACATCAAATTTATTCTGTTTCAACCCGGACACTAGAACTCATCAAAGATTTAAAGTACAAATCTATGAAACCAACCTCTAGCCCTCCTGCTTTTCTCTACTTCATAATATAAATAAGATCACAAAATAAGAAACATCTCAACCCAGGTAAGATGACCTATATTTGTTACAAAAGGCAACGCATACCCCCATCACCTTGGTTAAACTTTCATCAACACGTTACAGGCAGATTCCATCAAGAAACGGCAAATGTAAAATCCAGCCTCTGTTCTTTTGGAGAGAATGAAGTTTGGAAAGTATAATTCTCGGATCACACGAGGGACGAGTGTTAAAGATCAAAATGGGAATGGCTGATTAAGTAAATTCCAAACTCTTTCGTACAATCTTATCTCATGTCTTGAGATCATCAGACATAGCAGAAGGTATGCAATGCGTTGCAAGAATGTCTAAAGTTGCTTCCCTTGCGGTCTTCGTCTGCAGAACAACGATCTGCATAAAGAAATTTTGGACCGAGCCAAATTTAGAACTTACAAGCGAGGAATAAGCCTGTCACACAAGTTTGTATCTGATGCGTTGTGTGTGTAATGTGGGGAGAGAGAGCCAGGGGGAGGGATGGGATGAGGATTGGGTGAGAACCTGATCGTATTCTAAATTGAACTTAAGATATTCGTCATTACAGCTCTCCACCATGCTGGCCAATGTCTTGAGATTTCGGACCGGCTTTCCATTGAAAGCAAGAACCTAAATAGAAGAAAACAACGATATCAACAAGGGAACAAGAATGTAATAAAATTAAATTGAAGAAAAGCATAAAGAACATATCTCCTTACCTGTGTATTAACAATGTCCTCGTATCCAATATTAATGTCAGCTACAAGAACCTGAAGCAATTCAGAACACGTATAAGTGATGAGTGAGTTTTACTCACTCATTTGGTATCGTTTTATACTTAATATCTAGTTGGTTTCGAGGTTTTTGTTAGTTTTTATGTGTGTTTTCGTTCTTTGTTTGAAGGATAGGTGGAAGTCTATGATTTGGAAGGTTTTGGACAAATTTCGGTGGAAGAAGGATGAACATGAAAACAAGTTATACATAAGATGAGGGAGAAACCTGAGAAACAACAACTGCTTGTTCATCAACAGACTGTGCCATTGCATGTAGATGCTTGTCCAACAGCTTTACTGGAGCATCGAATTCATATTCTTTCCCATACTGAAAATCAGCAAAACCCCGAGGGTAAGATGTGATGATTTAGATAGAAAGAAAAGGAAGTAAAAAACAGTTTCAATCGCCATAAGCTTAGAACCTAATTCTAGCATGTATAGATGGAGGAACAAGGTTCACATTTTTGTAAGGGAACAAAGATGAATGACACACACCTCAGAACGCAGATATGGAACAGATACAGCACTGAAAACAAATCCAGCAATTATGTAATATGAAGGAGGTCTGCCTTTGATGTGCGCAGGGATGAGTCGCTTGTGAGTTGAAAGCTTTATATTGTATTCGAGTATCTCTGAGTTACGAAGAACTTTTACCAGAGCAGTATCTCCCGTGTACTTTTGAGAGACCAGGTAACTGAAACCTATGCGCTCTCCATGCCTGAATGGAACTGAAATTGTTACCAAAAAATAAGAGTTAATGCCTAAAGGGAAAGGAGAAAGAGAGAAGGGCTCTCAAAAGGAAAAATCTTTATAATTCTAAATGACCTGCTAGTGCTAGCAAACAGAGTAAAAGACGCCATTACTTTAAATTTGCACATTATTACGCCATCACTTGCCAAATGGAGAGTGCATCAAATCAAGCATAGCATTAAAGAACATTTGAAAGCAGAAATTGAGCTTACCTGTTCCGTCATTAGCAATATTAATCCCATCAAAACTAAGGATAACGTCAGATGGCCTTAGAACATTTGATTCTGGAGCCGTGGGCTCAATTCTTCTGATACGGACACCCTTCTGATCAGGTGACATTCCAATTGACGAGCGCAGATCAGGATTTTCCATCTTCTGCCACTCAACTCCAAGAATTGGAAACCCTAATAAGAAGACAACAGTATACAAATACCAAAAGTTATACTTGCAACAAATTCATTTTCAACAAGGACTGCTATTTCTGTTCTTTAGGGAGATGAGTTGGTGAACACCAGAATTACCTGTATATGCCCCATTCTTCTCATAATCCTTAATGAAATGCATGATAACTGGTGTTGGTATGACATAGCCTATATTCTCCACGTCTTCATGTTTAAGTGATTGAAATGCGATACCTACACATTTTCCCTTATCATTGAACGCAGGCCCACCAGAATTTCCAGAGTTTATTGCAGCATCTATCTGGGGAAACAACTCAAAGAGAAAGGAAATAAGAAAATATTGGTAATCAATCAAATGTATTAAGAACAGATGAAAAACCCAGAGCACATTACCTGCAGCCCTAAAAGCTCAGTGGACCCATGCACGTAAGATAGTATCTCCATACGCGACACAACACCACTTGTCACAGAGATTGTATCACCCCCAATAGGATAGCCCACAACAGTCACAGCATCTTGAAGAGCAGGCAAATCTCCAAACTCCACGGGTGAAACTCCCTCCCAGAACTCATCATCGCTCACAGTCAGCATTGCTGAAGAATTAGAAAAATGCAAAGGAAATAATTAGTAACATGTTAATGTTTTTCCCCTTCATTTCCAGTGAAAAAGCCATCTTAAATGATTTTCAGAAGTACTGAAACCAAAAACTACTAATTCATAACTATCCCAATGTTTAATGGTTCAGATCAAAATTGTTTCTTTCTTTCCATTTCAATTCACAACAACCTTATTAACTAAAATGAAAACTACAACAAGCTTAAGAAACCAAGTTTAAACCACTTGAAAGGGGTTATCGTACAATAACGAGAGAAAGTCCTGATAAAATGAATCATGAGCATCATCATCTTTTCTCTCACAATTCATAGGAACCCAGAGTTCAGATACTTTTTTCCTCTCCAAATCGAAGTATCATAACAAGAGAAATTACTTCCTAAAATTCACAAACTCAACCAGCTAAAGTGAGAGAGTTGCATGAATCACTGAAAACGAAAAAGTCCGGCTAAAAGCAGTTCCTTTCACAATCTTTACAATCAAACAGTATTCTCTCGCTTATGTTTAACGCAACAAATTCATCAAAACCCATATAAAAATAACACAATAAACAGAGAAATGAACAAAAAAAAACTGGCAAAAAGTTCCAAACTTAGAATACCAATATCACATTCAGTGCCAATGGCGAGAACAGTGGCCAAGTACTTGGTATCAGAGCCACGCTTCTTGAGCTTGACCTGAGTGTGATGCTCCACCGAGTGAGCATTCGTCAAAACCCTCCTCCCTCCAATGATGAATCCACTGCTACTCGAGCTGTACTGTCTCTTCCTCTGCCATGGCAGCGAGAAATTCGGCTCCGTGTGGACGCAGAACACCTTCACCACCGCGTCCATCGACGGCACAACCCTAACCACGCTATCCCACCTCGGCACCGTCAGCGGCGGCTCCGACACGACTCCGGCCACCGAGTGCGGAACCTCACCGTTTTGGTCCAAGTGTCGCGAGCTCCTGCGCTCCGGCGAGGAGATCGCAATCTCCGCTTGGTCCTCGATCTTTCTAGGTCGGCCCCGGCCGCGGCGACTGAGTTGATTGCCACCGAGATCGGAGGCGGCACTGGAAGGGACCGACACGACGTCAGTCGCCGCGGCGGCGGCGGCGGTTGTCGGATTGGTGTACTGGAAGTCCATAGCGGCGGAGGCAGCGGCGGTGGTGGGATTGTCGTCGGCTGGGGTTTTGGGCTTTCGACCTCGTTTTCGCTTATTTTCGCCCATTTCTAGAGAGAAAAAGATGGAAAGACAGAAATTATGGGTCTTGGTTTACTAGAGTGAAATTGGAGTTTTAGGGTGTTCCTGGTAATTGGGGTCGACGGCGGTCACGGAGGACCGAGGAAATATTCCAGAATGACTATCCAACAAAGTGATTTTGGGCCTCTTCATGGGCCTGAAGCTCTTTTGCCCGCTATTAATTAAGGCCCATTAGTGGCCGGTAATGGCAATGGTAATGGTATTAGCTCCTCCAAGGTGGAACTAATTTCTCGTTTCATTGTTGTTGATTCATAACTGTTTTTTTTTTTTTTTTTTTTTTGGTCTATTTTTCTTTCATAAAAGTTCTGTTATCCCTTCAAATTAGTGAATAATGATACTTTTTTGTTCTTCACACTTCAACTTGTAATATTTGTCAACTTGTAATATTGTAGTCTTCAAAAAATTAGTAAAATCTGATTAAAGATGTAAATTCGAATGAATTTCTGAATTTTGAGGACGATAATAAGGGAGACAAATTGAGAGACAACTACAGTAATGGAGCATAAAAACTCAATTTAGTGACAAGTCTCCATCTAATCTAATCTAAAATATTTTCAAAAGGAAAATCTAATCTAAAATATTAAAAGCTCAAAAAATCTAATGTTATTGTTTACATTGTGTATCACACTCTTATGGTTTAACCAAAAAAAAAAAAGAAAAATAGATTGGCATCTTTGACCATCAATACTAATATCCTTCCTATTCTGTTGACTGTTTTGGTCTTCTACTCTTTGTAGAGAGGAATTTTCGTTTCTTCTCTCTACCCTCTCTCTTTCCTATATAACCAGACCAGAAACTGAAAAAGAGCTGATTTCGGGAGTCCTCCAACGTTCGATTAACTAAAGCTACAGTTAGTTAATCACAATTTTCTTTCGTTGCAAAAACCCTCCCTTTTTTTCTTCTGTTTCGATTTTATTTTCCCTTTTATTCCTCCGTCTCTTTCCGATTGAAAAGCTTGAAATCCACCGTTTCACACGTGCTTACCTCTTTCTCTTCTTGGGTTTTGGTGAAATTTAATTCTCAAAAAAATCTGGGTAAGTCAATTCGGGTTCTTGCAAATCTTTCTCATTTCCTTTTTGGGTAATTCTCAGATCTCGATTTCAGCACCTGGGTCGCCCTGAATTTCGATCGAATCCCTTGTTTTCCGCTCCGAATTCCTCGCAATGTCGCAACAACAAGAACAAGGGTACGCCATCGAGCTCTACTTCGATCCCGCCCTAGAAAACCAGGTCCTGAAATCTTGGAACGTGTTGGCCCGCCGCCAAATCAGCACCCAGCTCATCGAAATCGAATCCCGCCCACACATAACCCTCTTCTCGACCCCTTCGATCGACCCCGGAAAGCTCGAGAATCTTCTCAGAACCTTCGCCTCCAGGCAAGAATCTTTACCCCTCTCTTTCTCCTCCATCGGCTCCCTCTCCAACGACAACAATGTCCTCTTCCTCGCCCCGACGCCGTCAATGTCGCTGCTCCAATTCCACTCCCAATTGTGCGACGCCTTGAGGAAGGAAGGCGTCGAAATCGGAGACGATTACCGCCCCGATTCGTGGGTCCCTTATTGCGCCGTCGCTCAGGAAGTGCCCAAGTCTCGCATGGCGGAGGCTTTTTGCGTTTTGAGAGACTTGAAGTTGCCGGTTGCTGGGTACGCCATGGATATTGGGTTGGTCGAGTTTTCGCCGGTTCGAGAACTCTTCTCTTTTGTGCTCGGTAACACTGTAGAAGCTTGAGCTTGTTACGTGGCCAAAAATCTTATTAGAAATTTGTTTCTTTTGTTATGCCCTGCCTTTACTTTGTTTCTGTAATTACTATTGATGGTGCTATTTTTAGCATAGTAACATAATATTATTTGCATTTCATGTCTAAAACATGATTCTTTTTCCCGTCTTTGTGTTGTGTTGTGTTATGTTGTGGGTGTGTTTTCTCTCTAGATTGATTTCACCCTTTTATGAATACTTTAGAGAAGTCATATTGTTTCATAGTTTTTTGATAATTCTGGGTTAAGGAATCAACAATAACTTGCTCAAGGCTTGTTTTTATGTTCAGATTTATATTGCTTTTAGGTGGTATGAGAAATAGCTTTTTTTGGTTGTCATTAGATCTTTCTGAGGGTTTGAAACAATCCCGGTAGCTTCACTGAGATTGAGTTGCTTCCTTTGTTTTGTTTTTTTTTTTTTTTTTTTTTTTTTTTTTTTTTTTTTTTTTTGCATATTGTGGAGCCTTAAGTACAATCTTGTGACTACTGACTAGATTGGTGTTGAACAAATTATTTATGCCAATAGACATTTTGTACCACCTTGTGAATGAGACTAGTCTGCCCCCACTTAGTTCTTTACCATGTCCAATTGTCCGTGATGAACTGGTATTGCAATATCTAGTGGTGAATATTTGCCTGTTTAGAGTTAGGGAGCTGGTTGCACCTTTCTGAATCTTGGAAGTTAGACATTCCATTATTTTGATTAAAACATTATTGATGAACTTCCAGAAAGATTCTTTTTAGGAGCTTCCCACTATACAGTAGTGCATGTTTTTGAATGGAAAATTTAGTCAAAATTACATCTCAGCGGTCCAAATCAAAGCAAGCGTATGATCCTTACTGTAAAAATCGCATTCTTTATGTCGTTAATAATTCAAATTTTGCCCTGCGTCATCTACTAGCTCTGTGCTTATAAGATGAGTTATTGCTTCAAGATTTTTTTTTCCCCCCGTATTGAGCTTAAGTTATGGAGGTTCATTTTTTTCCTTTTTTTTTTAAATTTATTTTCTCTAAATTGTCTTGAGGATTCCTTTTGGTATATTCTTTGTAACAAGCATTCTGTTTTCATTTTTGGTTTGTTTCTTGTCTCCTAATCCTCGACTCTGTCATTTAGATATCTTCATTTAAAGGGGTACACAGAACAGAATCCACAGCATTCTCCTTTGCAAGGAGGTTCCCAATCTTTTCATGTTCTATGAATTTCTGAGCTCTCCTAAAATGTGAATGCTCATTCTGATGTTACATTTTGTGCTAAGCGTCAAACCTAAAAGAGAAAAATGACATTGCAATCGCATTTTTGTCATTTTGGGGTAAGTGCTTAAATCAAGGGTGTTGATCCTGAAATATGGCATTTGAGAGAGGTAAAAGTTTTTGCACGCCATGCTAAATTAAGCACGAATTTGTGTAGGTGAAGATTTTATATGCAGAAATACCATTACTCAGCTTTATAGCAATTACATTTGAGATGGTCTAAAGAGACGTGCAAGCTATGCCAAAGGCAATCTTCTTCTAGACTTCTTATTTCCGTTTCAAATTCAGTATTTGTGTTGCTAGCGGATGAAAAAGTAGTAAAAGTCAAATGAGTTTCTACGTGAAGAGCCCAAATTTCAGAAATCTATTACATCTGAGCATTTCATCAAGATCGAGTGGTAAAAAGGGCTCTTAAAGCTTTAACTAAATATGGAAAATTTCTTTGTTTTCAAGTCGAGTGAACGTGCTAAAAGAGCAACTCAAATCAAACTTACTACATCCACAATTTGGCCAATTTTAATGCATATACGCATACAAGACTATCATGAATCCATGTTAGACTTCTCACCATTGATAAATCAGAAGAAAACTCACATTTCACCATGCCATTATACCCTTTTATTAAAATAATTATATACCCATATAAGAAAACCGGGCATTATTACTATATGTATCACATGTATGGTGTACTATTCTAACTAAAATAGCCCTACCCTTTTATCAAGAATCTAAACCTGACTCTTTTCTTATCACAGCCATCAAAAAATCGTTCCAATAATCAACAGGGCCAGGCATGCACCAATGAACACAGTCATTGTAGCCTTTCATCCATTTGTTGCCCCAGTGAGCTCCCGGATGCCCATCAGGTCTCATAAGCATAGCCCTAGTAATATCCAAAACTCCAAACTTCTTTCCTTTCTTCTTTTTAGCTCTTTTAATCTCTTGTACCTGAATGTTCCTCATTTCCCAGTCAAAACTCCCGAAATCAGCCTCTGCCTCATTGAGAGGACTTGTTCTGTTACAATAACCTCCTGTGTTCCAAGCCCCATTCTTGAAATGAGCCGGCGCAAATGTCCTCAGTAGAGTCACCAGACCGGGGCTGCAGTTCTCGCAATTGTTTATGTGGTTGAACGCAGCACGAAATGCCATCCGAACCGCGACGCTGATGTCACGTTCTGTGACATTTGGTTCGTGGCAGTAGACGCAACCTGTCAAATTATCGCCCTTGTGAAGGTACATTACTCGAAAGAACCAATGACCATCGGAGATTATGGCGTAGTCTAGCTGTGGGAGGAACTGAGACCAACTAGTGTCCACCTTGTCGAGATGGAGATCAAAAGCGCTCGTTCCTGTTCCGTTGATCATTCGTTCTGTTCCGACTACGAGAAACTTGGTCCACAAGATCATAAGGGTGAAGTCATGACGAGGAAAGTACCATGTCCCGAACCGATCTTCAGAGTCCTTGTAAATGTCTGTGGGAGTTTCCTCCTGCAATATCAATAACTCAGTAAGGTTGAAGAAAACTGCCAATTCTGCAAGGCATAACTAATAATCAACTATTTGATTCAAATTTAGAATGTACAATACCATGGCAAACAACAATTCTCATTAATAAACAACTTGAGTGATTACATACAACTCGAATCTATGTTGCATTTATAAACGTATTTTTTTAACTATGTTGCCTTGCTCTTTTCACAACACAACTCAAGTTCTATTGATACAGTGTTTTCTGTCACAAAAATTCAAATTTAATTTTTTTGTTAAACTTCAAGTTTTATTACTACAGTGTTTTCTATCACAATAATTCAAATTCACAACTCAACTCAAGTTCTATTGATACAGTGTTTTCTGTCACAAAAATTCAAATTTAATTTTTTTTAAACTCAAGTTCTATTACTAGAGTGTTTTCTATCACAATAATTCAAATTCAATTTTTTTACTAAAGATACCCTAAATCATCTCAAACTTCCAAAGTGACAATTGGCATATGGTGGCTCCATGTCTTTTTTATTTTTTTATTTTTTTGTCATTGAAAAGAGAGATCAATAGTATACTCATGCACCCATCCAATGCCACTTTCACAATCTATTAAGACGATAGGTAAGACTGAAAGGGGACCGGTCCACGCTTTCGTAAACAATCTCCGGAGATCCATTACCATCAAACACACATCCTCACGATTTCAGAGAACCAAGTGTAAACACAAAGATTCGAACCTTTGATAGATGGGAGAAAAAACCATCATTCCATCGCCATCATCCCTTAGCCACCACTACAGATGTTAAATGGCTCCATATCTTAGTACTCGGTGTATAAATTGCCCATGCGAATGTAACTAGATTTGAGATCTCTCTTTAATTCTCCAACTTCAGCCTCATTCCAATCTGGACAAATGCTACAACTGTTTACTGAAGCATACTTTTAACTAAAATTCGGCCAATTAAATGTAAAATCCGAAAGGCCTCAATTTTTTACCAGAGATCACAGCTAGGCGGTATTAAATAAGTATTTATTCCAACTGTCCAATTTTCTTTGACACATGGCTACCTCATGAGGCATGCACTTTCTTTGCACCGAGTTTCGGACCATCTAGATTTCCTCCGTTTTTCCTCTTTCCTAGTTATCTCGATTAATGCACTTTGAATCCTTAAAGAAATTTCACTATACATACATACATATATATATATATATAAGTTCAATGACTTATTTCCCAATAACAAGCAAGGTACAAGCAAAGAATAAAACCATCAAACAGCCTACAAAGTTGCCAACAATTGTAAAGGTACAAAGCAAAATACTTGTTTTCTAAGTTTTGGACTCCCACAAAAGAATTTTTTTTCCAATATGTTTCTTAGTGAATTAAACTTCACTTCTCAATTGTTTATGAAATTGGATCAATCCTTTAGTAACTAGCAAAGTACATGCAACTAATATAACCATCAAGCTGCCTATGAAACACCAGAATTTGAACATTCCTAGAATCACAAAACAAGAGTGTAAAAACTAACCGGTGACAAGACGCAGAGCAAGGATTCCATGTGGTTCCTAGCAACAGAATCTCCAATAAACGCCATTTTCTTCCCTCTAACCATCTCTAGAAAGTTCTTGGCATCAAATCTTGGAAGCTCACACTTCTCTGGTTTCCATCTCCAATTAAGGAAATCCTTGTCCTCCCTTCCATTTTTGAAACAATTCTTTGAGTCAGGAATTGTAGTGCAGCTTGAGTTGGTATAAAAAGATCTTCCCAATTGATCTTCAACCCAACGGCCTGTAAACAAGTCACACGTCTCCTCTTCTTCTACATTTCCAAACAGAAACAACAATTAAATTTTAAAAAAAAAAAAAAAGACAAGTGGGGTTTTTTTAATTTATTTCAAAATTTACCCTTTTGATTTTTTGGCAGCAAGGTGTTGTTGTGATCAAGGTCTTGGACTGCAAGGAGGTCGTGATGGCTTTGCACCACAGAATTAAGGCCTTGTTTTGGCACAAACGTAAAGGTGTTTGGAGAATGATAGAGAATGAAGAAACTGAAAATTGTGATTGTGCCCAGAGAAGTGAACAAGAAACGGGCAAGCTTTCCCATGTTGTGACATCTCTCTCTCTCTCTTTTATCCTGGTTCCGAGGCTTCTCCATCAGATGAGTACTTGAAGACTTCGTGACCTCTGAGTAAACAGTTAAGTCTGTCAGAGAGAAAGGAAGTGATAGAAAGATGGGATTTTTTTGTTGTTTTTTTTTTTTTCGCCCCCTTCAATACGAGATTTGTCGTATGATAAGGAAATTATGAGAGGTGAGATTTGTGGTTGTGTCTTCTAAGATAGCCTTTGTTGTTTTTTCTTATTTAGTTTTTGGTTTTCCTTTTCGGTTTCTCATTTGTTTGATTTTTTTTAGGGGAATAGAAAAGGTCAGAAGCGTAAAGGAATCCAACAAAATAAAAAAAAATGAGAAACGAATATAATAAAGTGGACATCAACCGCGGGATTGAGACACATGTACTATGCACCTTTGAAACATTTTAATGTGGGTCGTTTACTATTCTCTGATTAGCCTTATTTCGCGGCACAATCTTATGGTATATTTTGGTGTGGACCTTTAAATGCCTCCTCATTTGTTACTTTCCCAGTTTCCCACTGAGCCATGCCAAATCCATGCACATGGAAATTCAATTCCATATATATTATAATAGGACAAAACACTGCCCCATCTGTGTACGAGGTTAATCGAACGGCTGATGTACATCTGATCAGATGAACATTGAATCATAGTCGTGAAGTCAATGATTTGCGGCAGTACCTTTTATATAAGGGGCAATAGCGTAAAATCGATGTAAAAGTTGGCATGTGAGGACCAGCGTTACTAGTGCTGCTACAAACTTTTTTCTTTTTCTTTTTCTTTTTTTTTTTTTTTTTTGGCTGAAATCTGCTATAAATTATTTGACACCCGCAGAAAGTAATCCCCTTACCGACACTAAACGTCCATAGCACATGAAGTGGAATTTTAAATCTGTTTTTGATTTTGACTCTGCCCAGTTACACGAGCTATAATGCGTGTCGACATATCGATAAACGTGGTTTTGCGAGAATTGATTTTTTTTATTTTTTCTTCATAATAAGTGCTATGTTGTAAATTGTCATATTTGTATTAAATTTAAATTTATCGTAAAAAGCTTTGTGGTCTTGTATATAGAAAAATGCCAATAATGGTGTATTAAACATGCAGATAAAAGGGACCTCGGGATTGGGACTTTTTAGTAGGCTTCATGCTTCAAGTGTCTAGAGATGTCCAGAACATTTGATTCATAAATTTAAAATTATTCTCGTTTTACGTGTATTTTTTTATAAGATCATGACACGAATCCCTCTTCCAGACGTCCCCGAGATCCTAGCCGAAAAAGAAAAATGCTACAGCCACTAATTTTTGTGCCAACTTAGCAGTCATTCCTTGATGAGTGTATAAAAAATTATCACTTCAATAGATTTGTATTAATAAAAAAATAACAACACTTAAATTAGTATAAAAATTGAGATAAGAGTCGATGTCTCTTGAGTACCGTAAGTTTCCTAAACTTCACCTAGTTAATGCGTTGGTTGAGTACCGTAAGCGCGTATCGACTTTAGGTATTTTCACTTGAATTTCAACCAATTAGGTAACGGACTTCAAGTTGTCCATTTTCTTGGCGCAAAAACAGAAAAAGTTAACCCATTTCATGATAGAAAAATGAACCCAGCCGCACTGCAGGACCTTTTATATATAGACACGATACTCGTGAAAAAGTATACAACGTTGAAAAAAGAGCAGCAATACAAATATGAAGATATTGCAAAACATCCATGATCTATCTGTAAGAGGAAAGCTGAACTCAAGACACGGGAAAAGGTTTGGTGGGTGATCGTCCACACAGCCACACTCTCATCTGCCTTTTTTTTTTTTTTTTTATTATTCATTTAAGATCTACAGAAACGTACAATCTAGACCACGGCAAAGAGACATTTTCACGAACATAAAGGGGTCAAATTGCACCAAACGCAAAGGCCTGTCCAAAATTTCCTCTAAGTTGCGAGAAAGGTTCCGATTCTGGCTATAACTTATAATACAAAAGGAACGTACAAAATACACGGCAGCCTGTGCAAATATCAATAACCAGAATGATTAAAGTAACAAAATTCGGCAGTCATGACTAAAGTAAATAACTATATTTGGTAACTGGAAGGGGGAAGAAAAAAAAATTGACAGAAGATACATGCCCGGCCTCAGCCCGGACGGTTCATACATACAATCCTTTCCTATAAAATGAACCGGGTAAGGATCGGGGTTGTCATGTACCTGAATGAGCATTGTCCTTACATAGCGCACCAAATTCCTTAGTTTCTAGGCAGCACAGCAAGATGTTTTTCTTGAGTTAGATATCTACAGGGGAGAAACTTATCTGCAGAGGCCAATCTGTCAGAAAAGATTCGATTTAATACGACTGATTCCAGGGCCCTAACAATTTTCCAAAGTTAGAGGTGGTATGGCAGTGTTCAGGGAAATGAGCGCTCAGGCCTCGCCTCCAAATTCTCTGATCGTTAAATTAAACATATCCGAGTGCTTCTGACAATACAATCATCTCGAAGAGCTGCAAAAGGTTGGCAATGAAGGGGTTAACATCGAAAAGGAAAAAAATGGTGAAGGGTGTAATTTTGTTAACTTTATGCATCCACACTCTGTTAAAAGCACTGGAGTAGATTTACAACCTATAACATGCGCAAGGGCATTATTCCATACGAAAAAATGAAGCCACACTACTCTTGTCGAGGAAAGCACTCAGATAAGCAACTAATGATTTTGCTCCAAAACAAGACTATCTTCAGGTTTTTTGACATAAAAATACTAAATTACTTTCAGAAACTACAGAGGTGATTGGAAAACTGTTTTTAACAATTACAGGTGAATAACTTGCCATGAATGTATTGATGAATATAGCAAAGACAATTTCGGCTTAAACAAGTCGGCAATCACTCATACATACGGACTAAAGGAAATAAATTCTCACCAGGCCTCAAGATGTTCTGCGGTTGTAATCATTGAACCACAATCCTACTGCCATGAAGGTTGCTTGTAGCTGATTCTATCTACCGCATCAAGTCCACCATCGGGCTCCTTTCTCTTCAATACACCTCCAACCTGATACCTCTTTATCTGCTCCTCTACAATGGCTTGTGAACTGGGAACAGAAAGCTGCCTCAACCCTGAAGGCAATCTCTCATCTCTCCGCTCTGTATCTATCCCCCCCGGACCTGCATTAAGGTCCAAACCCTGACTTCCCCATTTCCTACCATCAGGACCGATGTTACTGGCACCCCCTGGAAGGTTCATCACAAAGGGACGAGGGTAAGGTGAAGATACCATACCCGCAGGCCCGACCAGAGATGAGGGAATGTTTGGGAAACATACTGCCCCACCAGTAGAATCCATATATGCTGGTGAGCCAGAAAAGGAGTTTGAAGACAGAGGAAAACTGGTTTCAAAAGGGAATCCGGGATATGGAATTTGGGAAGCTGGTGGAAATGCCACTGCAGGAGAGGACGAGAGCACTGGTCCCCTGTAAATCTCATGACCAAATGAGGTGCTAGCGGTAGGAGGACACATGACCCTCTGAGAACCAGCTGGAGCAACGTAGTTCTGCTCTCCCCTAGCTGTAAAAATCGGTGGGACGGTGATAGCTGAAAATGTATTGCCAGGAGGGAACCATGACGAGAAGTTCCCAAATTCCGGATTGTTCATTCTTATCCCAGGAACAGGTCCTGCTGGAGGCATTGGCATGTTGCTTTTGATAGGCTGGACGCGAGGTGCTGCTTCAGTGCCAACTTCATCAAGGCCAGGCCCATTGTTTAAATCAAAGTCTCTAGAAACGTTACCTCCACCGTTAGACAAACCACTAGATAGTGATGATCTAGTTGGCAAAGAAGCAATTTCCAACCTCGAATTGTTGCTAGCAGAGAAAGGCCCGACGTCAGGATTCTCATCAACTCTATTCAAGTCAAGATCAAGTCCTCCAGCACCAGCACCACGATCAGGAGGCCCGGACTCATCCTCTAAAGCTCTTTCATCTGCAACATTCAGGTCAAAGTCCAAAGGAGTACGAACATTTTTGCTAACAGTGGAATCACCTATATCACAGTTCTTTCTGGGTTCCGCCGGCCTAAATGCACTGGTGGCTGCCGAACCTTTCCATCCAAGTTCAACTTTACTGCGCAATAAGTTTTCTGGAGGATTAAATGCTCCTTTAGCAGGTGCAGCCACAGTAATTGAAGCAGGGAAGCCCCCAGAAATAGAAGAATTTTGAAAAGGTAAAGGGCACGGCAAATGAATAGCGGATGAACTTCCAGGATCGCCTGTTTTCACAAGGTCCCCTTGACTCCCATCATCAGGAGGGAAACCTTCATTTAAATCAAAGTCCAATTTCACAGTGGCATCCGGCCCAGATGTATTCGTATTGCAAACTTGCTGTTCCTCAGTCTTGCCTGATTCTAAACCATCCATCTTAAGCCTGCTAGATTTCTCTGAGTGTTCATCTTCATGCGCAGTAAGTGTGGGTGTGGGTAACTCAATGTGGGGAGCTGGACCAGCTGAAGGAGCAATAGAATCTTTTGTTTCCAGGTTCTCCCGACCACGTTCATTGTCATGATCTGAAGCCGAAGAACAGAAATCCCCTGTTTGTCTATCTGCCTGCTCAGTTAGACCTCCAGCCTTTGCATCATCAACCTTTTCAACCTTGCATTCCATGTCCAAAGTATTTCCAGAACCAGAGCGTACCATAGGATCCTCAGTTTTCCCCTCCTTGGACTCTGAGTGACTTACTGCCATAAGAGGTGGCTTCTGATCTGCTACTACGTCATTACTTGACTCCTTGTTAGCATTCTGATCGTCCCCACCCATTTCTGAAGAAGAGCATGTCGATTTTTCATTTTCCTTCTCGACTTTTGCACTCCCAGAGGCTGCTTCTGATACCACTGGTTCACTGTTCTCTACTGTTCGCTCATCTGCGTAATCCACTTTCTTATCTTCATCAGATGAAGGACTTGGTATTTTCAATTTAGAATCAGGCATATTGATGCCTTTTGTCCTATGAACCCCAAGTTTTCTTTGCTCATGAAACTGGTAAGCTCCCTCAGCATCTGAATAACCTTCTTTATTAGCAGTTGTGGTTACGGAAACATCCCCAGAATCACCACGTTTGAGATCAGAAACGATTGGAGTCTCTACATGCTGTTGTGAACTCGAAGAACCATCCAAAGGCGCTCTAGAATCCCCTGCTCTTTCCACAAGAGCAGGTGAAGCGCTCTTACTGTCACCAGAATCATTAGTTGGTGCGCCACTAAAAGGGTTTCTTGATTCGCTTTTGACATGTGACAGATCACTAGCAATACCATGCTCCGAAAGAGTACTACCACTAGCCCCACCAATAGGCTGACATTGGCCTTGAGCAACATCTTCAGTTAGTTGTTTCAACTTGCCATCATTGCCTGAGGTTGATCCCTCAGGCGTAGATGGATTTCTTGCAGGAGAACCTGATGGTGACACGTTATCCGATTTACACATTTCTCCGGCAGCCACACTAGCAAGCAGATTCATCCCTACGTCATCCACTGGAGAACCAGAAGCACTAGCTTCAGAAATCTTGGCACAGCTTTCAATAAGAGCATTTATCGAGCTTAAAGACGCCTCGTATGATTTCCCTGATCTGGACATCATTTTCGAAAAAGAACCCGCCACTTTAGGTGCTTCTGTTGGTTTTTCACCATCTTCACCAGCCCTTTGTTGATCTCCACAAGCAGGGAGCACATTACCCTCTTCAATCCCACCATCCCTGCCCTGACATAAATCTGAGTTCACATCTGATGAAACATTAGTACGAACAGCATCATTTCTGCCTTTCGTTCTTTTATCATGGTTATCATGCTTTTCTGCAGGCGAAGAAGCTCTACCTGAAGTAGCAACAGGATCTTCAGAAGAGCTTCCAGAGGCACCTCTTGCAGGGCTCCGACCAGTGTTTGGCAACCTTACGATAAGTCGACTACTTCCATGGTCATCAGCAAGTTTCTCATGGGATACTCCAGTAATTGATGGTTTTTCGGAATTTAGACTTCTACTTGGCGTACTAACTTTTCCAGGCCCACTTTCCTTCTGAGCTCCTGAGATAGACGACCCCTGAACGCCATTGCTCGACTTCCGATGACGTGAAGCACTGCTAGAGACTCTATTCGCACTCACAGAACCCGCAGTTGAGCTCCTTGCATGATCACTCGACTGGCTATTGTTCTGGGACTGACTAGAACTGCTACTTTTTTCCTCCTTAATTGGTGTCAAAGGAAGTTCTGAGGAACCGGCACCAACTAACATTCTGAAGTTTTGATCCTTCGGGCTACCCACTGATGCATTCACCGGTTTAGTAGAACCAGGAGATGCAGATGATTTGGAAACAGCGTCCCCAGTACCAGGCTTAACTTGAGTTTTAGAGACAGAAGGTTGTACAATGGAGCTCTTCGAGCCAACCTCAGCAGAATTTCCCACTCGTCTGCTCCCAACATGAGAAACTTCAGAAGAAGCAGGCTTGTTAGGCCATGAAACACCACGACCTGCTCCAGATTTTGCATCATTCATATTCATCTCAGCTTCAACGCGTCTCTTCCATGTGTCCACCAAAGTTCTAGCCTTCTTTTGAATTTCAGAATTTTTGTGACTGCGCAAGTTGTTGACAGACTTGCCCACGTTACAAGTCTGAAGGGCATGAAGATTTACAGGCAGCTTATCAAGTGCACGAAGTAATGCTAAAAGAAATTCCTCAACAGATTTATCACTTTCTTTGGGGCTGCTGCCCTCACCAATCCTCCCCTTATGGACTTCTTGAAGCCATTCATCCAGTACAGGTAAACCCCTAAGATGAACAAATCGTCCAAGACAATCATATCTGTCAGTGACTGCTATTACATCAACAAGCATTATTCTGCCAGCCAAATCTAACTTCTTATCGGCACTGTCAGGTTGCATGAGCTGGACTAACTTCTCAACCCCAGCAAAGTCCACAAGCGCTCCTTTGTCAGTTATTTTGGCAATTTCAGACTTTAACATATTTTCAGGCCTGAATTGACCTGAATCGCCATCCTCCGTCTTAGATAAACGCTCACGTTTAGCGGAATCAGAGACCTGGTCACCCCGTTCCCTCTTCTTTCCCTTAGCCTGCGAAGAAAAAGAGGATGTGCTATTTTGTATACTATCAGAGCCAGATTTCAATTGCGGTGCTGACGACGGACCATTCAAGGGTTTTGGAGAACGGCCTCCTGACTGCACTGCCCCATGCATTTCTAGTCTTGTCTTGTCTAATAGATGATCTACTTCTTCTTGTCGTTCCTGCAAACAAGGAAAGATCAAGACTATGAGACGAATTAATTAATTACAATCCACAAGCAATAGAATGGAAAAAAATAATGATACTCACATTAATATAATCTTTGTCAGTTAACCACCATAAACACTTGTTCTCAATATCATACACTCGTCTGCATACAAATGAGGATATCCCTGGAGGAAGTTCAACACCTTTACGAAGAAATGCGACTTTACAGGGATGGAGTAATGATGCAGCGGGAATCTCATCCTTGTGAAAGGAATAAAAGACCTCGTTTGGGGCAGCTTCTAGCAAGATCCCTTTTGCAAGTCTTATATCAGCAGGTCGATAAAGCCAATTTACACCTAAACTGAGGGTGTCCTCCTTGTCTAATGTCAGCCTACGAATTATTCCGATGAAAGGTGGAGACTCCTGAGGTGGCTTGAAAAGTGCACAATCACCAACTCGAATTTTGCGTCCATCCTGTTACAAGGAAAGGCTCTCAGTTAAAACACGGTAGATTAGATATTTATCATTCAAGTAATGCAATGCAATAAGGAAAAGGCGAATTCAGAATTTGCAGAACTGGTGTTCTGATGAACTTCATGTTTCGGACACAAATAAAAATCTCAAAACAATGTATGTCTGTAGAGCACACAGAATAATGGAGAAAACAACAAAAATAACCAAGATCTCAATTGTGCCATCTATTAAAAAACCGGTACACCACTTTCTAAGGCATAAAAATACGAGCGGAAAACATAACAATACTCTACACAGTGAGGGGAGATCAGAATTCAAGCACACCCAGGAATTCTAAACCGTTTTCAAAGGTAGAGGTGATCTATATGAAGGATGAATGATTTGAGAGGCCTTGTCCCTTCAAAGTATCCACGGGGGGAAACATAAGAAGCAGATGCTAAACATAAAGCCGAAAAATAAAACTAATGTTTGCTATATATTTAAATTGCCCAAACGGCTCGTGCATCATAACCAAGTTAACAAACTGAAATACTGCAACAAATCCCAGAAAGAAACCCGTAAACAAACCGACCAAATAGCTAAACAAATATTCACTTTCATTATAGAGGCACATTGGAAAAGCAAACAAACCTTATTTATTGTCAAAATCATCTCAACTAAAAAGATTGTCCCATTAGGCAAACAGAATCCACTAAAATGGTTTCAAAAATGATAAAAGCAATGTCAACTTCTTAGAACTAACAAATTTTCATACACATTCATCACCAAAGTAAGAAATTATGCACTTGTGCGCCTCAGGCGTTCTACAAAAGTAGAAATGCAATCATCGAATAAATTTAACCACCTAAATCGAAAACAAAAGACGGGAAGAGATTTGAGAAATGAGTCACAAAGCAACTTCACGAACCAGAGGGAATCAAACATAGCCAAATCTACAATTTGAACCATCAAAATTTAGAAAACAAAAGTCACCATATTGAACCCAAGAAAATGAAAAACCCATATAGGCACAACGCGGTTTTAAATCTATAGACTGAGATCAATTAACAACAAATAACCCAAAAACCGAAAGAAAAACATCCAATTAAAAGGATAAATTGAAGGAAAACATCATAACCAATCAAAATCACAAAAAGGGCAAACCCATAGAGGGAAGAGAAACTAAAATCCCACTAATTCAAGAGCGGCGAAGAAATTAACCACAGAACCGGAATAACTGAAACGATGACTTCGGAAAACCCAACAAAAAGGGGTATTTACTTTGCAGAAGAAATCGAGAGTGTTTGAATCGTTCACAACTACAGTCGTCGCGGTCGAATTAGGGACCGGCCACATGTGCCGACTCCGTTTCCACTTCTCACCTCCCGACCCATGCATAGCCCTCCATCTTCCTTGATTTCTGAATCGATCGCAACCACGTCCTTGAAAAGAAACATCAATTCGGAGTCGAATTCAACAGAGAAACCCTAGATTCGCGAAATTCGAGCCGAATAAAGCCCCAGATCAGGTCCCAGATCTTCGATTAACCGAGGGAAATCGCGGACCCATTATCGGAATTTGGTAAAGGGTCGTAAGTCTAGGGCTTGGCTGGAAAAACAAAAGAAAAAAGATTTGGGAAACCGATTTATCGTCGAACCGCGAGATATAAATTAGGGCAAATTGGGATCGAAGGAAAAGGAGATTGGCTTGGCTAAATCCAGAGATTTCGTGCGACGAACTCGCGATTACAAGAGAGAGAGAGAGAGAGAGAGAGAGAGAGAGAGAGAGAGAGACAGTTTCGCAACGCGAAACGGTGAAAGGCAGAGCAAGTGCGAGACTCGGAGAGAGAGAAATGGTTTGGGTGCAAAAAAATTGCCAGTTTTGTCAAGGTAATGCCTAATGGTTGATGTGGACAAGGTCAACGGCGTCGTTTCGGATCTGCCACTTCAGCTGAAATAGTATTATTTTTCCGAGGCGTGGTTGTTTAATTATGGCAAAATACCTCTCCTTAAAAAAAAATGTTTTTAGCACTTTTATCCCTTAAGTTTTTATGTTTTGGAAATTTAGTCCTTATACTTATTTTCTTGGTAATGCAATCCTTGTATTTTTAAAAGTGTAGTGATCAACTTTAATCATTAATTGGAGTTTTTTTTTTTTTTTTTTGAAAGTGGAACTGGACTTAAATTTTTAAGAATTGTATGACTAAGTTAGGGACTAGTTTTGAAAAAGTAATTACTATTAATTATTGACGATTGAAGTTATTAGTCACATGTACTAAAAAATTATTGTTATTCCGTATACATTTAAAATCTGTTAACGATTGAAGTTAATTGTTGTTATTTATGAATTTGAAGACTAAATTTCAAGGGAAAAAATAAAGATGAAAGTGCTAAATCCAAAAAAAAAAACGGAATATAGGTGCTAAAAAGTATTGTCATTCCCTTAAACTTTAACATCTTAACAATTGTTGTTAATTGTTACAATTTCATAAAATTTAAGAACTAAATTGTCAAATGGAAAAAAAAATAAATAAATAACATGCATGAGAGTGTTTTTCTAAAAATTAAAGAGTCACAAATTATTCGAAAATATAGGAGAGGAAAATTTAAGAGAATTATTCGAAAATATAAGAGAAACAAATTATGAAAAAGAGGTGAATTTAAGCACCACCACTCACTCATTTGGCATAATAGTTGACATAACATTTTCCCAAACGTAAAATAAATTCATTGTCCCGTCGCAAATTCTAATGAATTAACTTTAGATTTTAAATGAACTAAAAAACAAAAACGCTCTTTTTTAATTAAAAAAAATCGAAACTACAGCTATAAAAATCTATTAAGGCAGAATGTGATTTTTTTAGTTTATTTTGTTAAAATTTCTAATGGCTAACATTCAATTATGTTTCACTTTCGATCTTTTTAGGAGGAAAAACTGAAAAAGAAAATTATATCCACCCTACAATTTCTTTTTTCTTTTTTTCAAACAGTTGAAAGATTACGGTCTTTAATACACGAACAAAGCAGTATTTATTTTTAGAGATTATCCTGTTATAAGTTTTTCTTTTTTCCTTAATTCTAGTTCCTAATATCATTCAAAAATTCGTAAACTCCTGATATCCATTGTCTTTTTTTTTCTTTTTTTAAATGCATTTTTTTCCTCTAATATAATTAGAAATTGGAAAAATAATATTTGAAAAATAAAACTACTTCATCTATAAAAAGGGATTGTTTTAATCATGTAGCATCTACTAAATTTAGCATAATCGAAAAGTTAGATTCCATAGTTGAATAATTATTTGAAGGAGATTTCCCCATATATCTCATGTGTAGCTTTATTCCACTTCTACCAAACACGAATTAATCACGTTTGGCAATCCCTAAAAAAATATAAAAAAGAAAAAACGCACAAAAAAAAAAAAAAGAGAGAGGAAGAAGAGAAGAAGAAGTTACTATCCTTTGCTTAAGAAAGGCCTAAAATCCTTATCAAATTATGATCGATGAGTCTTGAGATTGAGAGTATGTTATCGTAAATGACAAGATAAAAAAATAAGAAAAATGAGTGTTTTTTTCTTTTTTTTTGAAAAAAAAAAAAAGAATTGATGTCAAAAATAAAATAAGAAAAAAGGAGTGTTTTCCTCAGTTTTAAAAAGAAAAAATTTGAAATTTTATGGCAGGCATACTCTACAATAATACATTTGTTTTTTATTCTTCGTAAACAGCCGCCTGGGTTTGGTCACTGTAACTCCTCCTGTTGTGAGGAGGCACTTTTTTTCTTGAAGTTATATGATTATTTTGTCGAGTTTTTTAGAGTGATTTGTCACGCGTTCTTATGTATTCTCTAACTATTTACATGTGTCGGTTGAAGGTATAAATATTTTTTTGTTAAACGTCGTTCGATAAGTAAAAAGTTTATAAAACTGTCAGTTTCAAATATAGATTTAATAGTTTAAAATTAAGCATTGATGGTAGACTATTTTTTCATCTTATCACAAAAGTATCTTTTTTGCCCCTTGTTCATTTGTTCACTTTGACAAATAATAAAAGAAAAAAAGAACTTGCCAAAACCGACATGTTGTAAACGAAGGAATAAAAAAAAGGCTATCTTAAGTTATTTTTTATTTTGTTTTCCTTTGAATTAAAATAAGAGATACTTTTTTAGGATTAATAAAATGAACTATTTATAATTATCCATTTTTAACTGTTATCTATATTATAAACTGTTTATTCTGCATACTTTTTTAATTTAATGTGATTTTGATCAGATTTAAAGATTTCATTAATGGGTTATACTAGCATTTTAGTTACTTAGCCATTTTTTATTTTTAAAGTTAATAAACACTATAAAAAAAATGGATTGTTTAAAGGGTTTTTTGTACCTAAGGCTTCCAAACGTTGATATTTTACATTTGGGTCTCAATTTGCAAATTCAAACAATTGGGTCTCCAAATCCTAATACATCCATTCACTTCGCTGATTCGAATTTGTAATTCGAGTTGAGATGTGATTTTGTATGAGAGCTTTTTACTGTAGCAAAAAAGTTAGATGTGACTGTTTCTGAGAGCTTTTTACTGTAGCAAAACTCAAATTCTAAACTCGAATCGGCGAAATGAACGGGGCAAGCATACTCATATTACAGACATATTAGTTCTGAGTGAGCATGTATTATAACATATTTCTTTAATAAGACTTTTCTATTAAGTCATTTGATTTTTATTATTTGTCTATTTAATGAAATTAAAAGTAATAAAGTTTTTTAGGTTAAAAATACTGGTAATTAAATTAACTGATTAAAATTTATGCAAAATTAATTCATTTTACGTTATGCTTGATTCATGCTTTCTTTCGATCAAAATGTCCTTAAAATACAAAACAAAAACCAATAATTAAACAAATACAAAATCCATCTAGAAAAAAGTACCCACCAAACCCAGAATAAACAAAAGGAAAAAAAAAAAAAAAACAATTTTAAATTGCAGGTTTTGGCAAAGTGGTCGATGTCGTCGACGGTGTCTGTCCAAGGAGAACAACGCGGTTCTCTACTCTGAGGATTCGCCAAGCGCAGACGAGTCCGAGCTTGAGTTGGGTCTTGGTCCGAGCCTTGGCTCAGGCATATCCAATGTCCGATTGATGATAAGCGACAACTGGAACATTTCATGGCGGCCATGCATGGTGGTGATCGACGAGGTCTCGCTCAATGGTGCATGGTGAAACCAAAGCCATGCCAAACATGGAGATCATTGGCGGGGAGAGTTTTTTTTTTTTTTTTAGTCATACCTCTTCTTTATCTTTGTATTTTAAGTTTTTTTTAGAAAATATACGCTTAATTATTTATTTCATTAAATATAAGTATAACTTTCATATTTAATATATAAATTCATATTTTGATTAAAAAAAAATTCAAAGTACCTTAAGAAACAGAAAGGAAACTAAATATAAAGTTCTCTAAAACAGTAGAAAATTGAAAGGGAAACCCCAATTTGTGAAGATTTTTTAATTTATGTAATTTTTTTGAAAATTTTTTATTTGTTTACTGAGTATTTTTTACATTTTAAAAATCTTTAATTCTAATAATGTAATAAAACACTAATTCAAAATTTATTCTCTATTTAAATTTTGCACATCAATGCCAGTTCAAATTATAAAAAACCAACATTTAACTTCAAATTCAAATGTTCAACACAATTCGAACCTACAAAGTGAATAGGCCTTAACTCCCCCAAACGAAGAACCTTTATCTCTATACCTTAGCGGTATTGCACATAACCTTTTGCAAAATATTTTCATTATAATTATCCAAATTTGGACCTAACATAAAATTAAACAACTACAATTATTAATTAATCACCTAAACTCAATTAACTCTTGTTGCACTACCTCACTTCATGTTACAACTACAAAATCACGATACATAAATGTCTGCCTAATTGCATGCATTAACAAGGGCAAATGCACTACCTCACTCAATTGTTAATGGCATGCAATTAGGTAGCCATGGAGAGCCATAATCACTTGTACATGTGAGCATATATACGGGTGTGTATATATAAGTATAATCACTTTCCATAATCACAAGTTCACACCACATTCCTATATGCGACATGTAGAGCCCTTAAAAAAAATAGAGAGAGAAAAAAGTGTGTGAAGAACCCAACGGATTGTGAATAGGGCTGTTCATAAGTTGGGTTAGTGCGTGGTAAGATTTTTTTTTTCTCCCACCCCAAAGAGTGCGGGTTACACATATTTGGCTCCAATGATGTTAGAAAAATTTCACAACTCAATGATGCTTGGGTTGGGTTGGGACGGTGCGGGGTGGGTTGAGTGGTCAGTTTTAACATTCAAAGAATTAAAGACTCAAAGTTCAATAAAAAATTCAAAGTTCATCATCAAATAGAAATAATAACTTCAACATTCAAACGGATAGAAATTTAAAGTTCAATCCAACATCTAACACGAAACAAAGTAGTTCATCCAACATCAAACATAAATTAGTCTACACTTATAAATTAGTCTTAACATAAAGCAAACATATAGGCTTAATTCAAACATGAAGAAACTAGATAATAGAAATGAGTAGTCTGCCTAGGGTTAGATATTAGATGAGGCAAGTTAGAGCGCAGGTTGGGTTGAGGTGTACGGGCCATTATAAGCCCAACCCACACCCCCGTTTTAAAATTTCGGGCCAGACATTGAATGGGCAGAAAAAAAATTTAATACTATAAATTGTATTTTTCAGATTGAGTTGGATGAGTGGGTTGGGTCTGCGAGTTTTACGAGTTTATGAACGACCCTAATTGTGAAAGGTATGATATGCACAATTACACAACCAAGAAGTACAAAACCAAT